AATGACAACCAACTCACAACTATCAACAACTGAACCTAAAAACAAACAAACTAAGCAAACAACTAGAACAGGAACAGAATCATAGAAACGGAGATCGAGGCAGAGGAAGAATGGGGGTAAAGGTACAGAGAATAAGCAGCATAAACAGCAGGTAGAAGATAGGCAAGGGGAGGTTACAAATAGTATAGGAAATAGAGAAGCCGAAGAACTTATGTGTACGACCCATGGACATGAACTAAATGGTGGGGGGGGGGATGCTGAGAGGAGAGGCAGTACACGGTAGAGGGGACTAAAAGGGAGAAAACAATGGGACAACCGTAACAGCATAATCAATAAAAGATCTATTAATAAAAATTAAAATAAAGACGATACAGGGTCTGTCTTGAAGAAGTCCCGCCATTGTTAATTTAACAAGAATGGTTTGTGTGACATCAGTATGACCTCGCAGCCAAGGAAAGTGGACTGGAATGCCCATGTGTGAACTATGACAACTTCACTGTACTAGTCAGTGGGGACAGTAGACGCCAGTTGAGTGAGAATGTGTACTGTGTGGCCATCATATTCAAAATGACTGAGCCAGGAGAGCACCAAATCTGCATCAAATTTTGTATTATTAAGCTTGAACATTCCTCCGCAGAAACTATTTGGATGATTCAGAAGGCTGCAGCTATAAGCAACTGGTCATTGGCAGCTTCATCACAACAACATGCCTGCTCATGTATCACATTTCACGCAGAATTTCTTGGCGAAATATCTAATCACCCAGGTGACTCAGCCCACCTACAGCCCAGAATTGGTGCCCTGAGACTTCTGGCTTTTCCCAAAACTAAAATCACCTTTGAAAGGAAAGAGATTTCAGATCATCGATGATATTCAGGAAAATGTAACAGGGCAGCTGATGGCAATTGGAAGAACTGTGTGAGGTCCCAAGGTGCCTCCTTTAAAAGAGGACTTGAGATGTCATTGTCCTATGTACAATGTTTCTTGTATCTTGTATCTTCTTCAAAAAATCTTTTTCATATTGCATGGCTGGATACTTTCTGAACAGAACTCCTATATGAAATATAAATCTAAGAACAAGCATTTCACAAAATGTTAGTAAAACAGACTTAGTATTCAAAAGGTATTCATTACCTTAATTAGACACACTCCTAGAAACTTAGAAGTTTTGCTATGTTTAGTTCATATACTTTTCATATAGGCAAAAAGATGATAATCCAGTTTTTATGTTAGTTTAGAATGTCATTTGGGGGTATGTGTACAACTATCTTAACCAATTTTTAGTTAATATGCCTTCCCTCTGCCAGAAGTGCAATTTCTTTCGATTTCTGAATTTCTTTTTCTCAGGCTCTGCATGGAATTTTCCTCTCATTATGGTGTAATACATGATCACGTGTTTGCTGTCTTGTTTTCCCCTGGGTGGTGTGGGTACTAGTATTTCCTTCTCCTTTTTCATCTTTTCTCTCATTATGGCCTCTAACAAGATCCTCTCCAGGGTTCTTCTGATCTCTATGCTAATAGGAAAGCACTGAAATGACTGAATGGAAGACAAAGAGGAAAAAAAAAAATCCCCAAAGTCGTTGGGAGCCCTTAGAGCTAACCATCTCTATGGAAACAATTCCACCGAGATCCGTCTGGAAACAATTCTGAAGGGATCTCGGGAGCAGTGCTGAGCCTGTCTCACCAAGCCTTACTTACAGGATTCAACTTGCAAATGGGAATGAGTTGATACCTTTTTTTTTAAAGAAAAATAATAGTCAAATAAAAATTATGTTTACCCCTACATAGTGAACTTTTTTAAAAACTCAAAACTTCCTACTTGCTATAATAAAAAAGCAGAAGGAATATACGTACTAATTTCAAGTTCTTTCTAAGCATTCACAATGGCAAACAGCAGAATGCACAATACAAGGAAATTATGGCCAAAGAAAACATCAAGGTGTGGTGGTAGAAAGTCATTACAATGCTTTTAGGGTTGTGGCACATAACCACACAAAATAGTATGTGGAAAGAATGCCAAACTCAACCAGACAGTAAATAAATTATACGAATTCAGGCAAGGGTGGAAGGGATTACAGAATTCCACCTACCAAATCAGATGGAAAGACTGAAAGGATGAAGTAGGAAAGTGACTTGAAATGAGGAAAGAATTCCATCTGAGGTGTGAGATCTTGGAGTCTTACTAATACAATTATTTTAAAAAGGTTGGGGGTGCTCTGAGTGTCAGCAACACCAGAACATCAAGTTTCAGGCATGTTCAAAAGTCTCCAGCCAATGAATTGTTAACTGCAGGTCTCCTGAGGTGGTAATTTCAGTGTCTGTTCCAGGAAAATAACTTAAGTTTGCCTACAAATGATGTTTGTTTAAGACCCTGGAGTCTGGTGTAAAATCTTTTGAGTTCAAATGCTAGCTTCTGCAACTAGATGTATGACCTTGGGCAATTTTTTCCCCACTTTTCTAAAATTCAGGCACCTTTTCTGTAAATTGAGGATAATAATTACTGTATTTCACAGTTGTAGAGAGTCAGAGAATTGAGCACAGCACCTAGCTCAAGCACATTCTCAATAAATGTGAGTTATTATTAATATACTATCCTGGTTTTGTTTTTGTCTCTAGTAATGAATACCACACTGTAACTTTCCCCTTTTCTGAGGGGTATTTTGAAGGAGTGGGCTGAAGGCACTACAAGCACTACAGCTTAACCAATTCTTACTGTCTCACACTTGTCTTTTTCCCCCCCACCCCCAAACTATAAGAGAAAATTTCTTTTAAAAGTCAGAGGTAGAAGGTACTACACCATAGAAGAAATGGGCATCAGGACACAAGCTAAAAGGCAAAAGGAGGGGGCCCTTGCAACTTAGGAGAGAAGAGTAAAGGTTAACCACCGGTCATCATTTCTGCAGCCATGCTACAGGGAGAGAGAGAGAAGTGGTGGAGAGAGACAGAGAGAGAGAATATGAGAAGGAGAATGAGAATGTTGTCCCACGCAGGTTTGAGGATGAGAGGATGAAATAAAGGCATGAAACACGTATAAGGTAACCGAAGCCATTAAATATAAGGAAACTGAAGGTAACTGGCTTCCTGTGTCCACTCTACACAATCCAGATCTCATGGGGGAAAAAATTATTAAAGCTTCTTTGCTGCAAGCACTCCTTGCGCCCCTATCCCACCCTCTACGAGTTTCCCAATGCCCGTACTACACAGTCTGACTGGATACTGAAGTTCTCTAGGAGCTAGTTTCACCGACACTTCCTACAGGAACAACCGTGCGCTCATACTCATTTCCTTCTCTCCGTCTCTTCACGTCCCTTCCTACGTTTGGACCGTCACTTGCGTTAATCTCTTTACCAGGAATGCCCTCCACCCTTCCCAGAAATTCAGTCTGCATTTCTTTAATTTAAAAAAAAAAAAAAAAGGCCATTAGGTGTCGCTAGGAACCTTGGTGGTATGAAAGTAGGGGGGGGGAAAAAAACTTACTGTCACTGGTACGTGCAATTTTGAAAGATGCAAAGATCTATTTAGAAAAACAACCCTAAGTCCGCCGTGAGGAGCTAATCGGTCAATCAGGTTATAAAGTGCGAAACATGAAAGGCAAGAGGAATGAGAAGGCGAGAGCAGAGAGCGAGGTACGATTTGTAGGGAAACGCGGGTAGGGAGGAAATCAATCAAGAAGCCTCTCCCGCCTCCCCACCCCCTCGACGAGACCCACTGGGGAACGACGGTGCCGACAGCACCAGAGCCAAAGGAAGGAGCCCCAGCTCAAGGGCCAAAATCAGGGCTAGTGGACATCTGAATCTCCCCAGCGTTGAAAAGCTGCTATATCTACTGCATAATGCAAACATGGTGGACAAGGAAAATGTTCCGTTTGGCGGCACAACCACGTGGCGCTTTTTCCACGCAGGTGACGCTAGGGTAAGGGCGGGGCCTTTATGGAATTTGTTCGTGGAGGGGCAGAGTATCGGAGAACTCTTCCAAACTATGACACTACTGTTCCTTCAAAACACGTTGGCAGGACCACTATTACCACTCACCCTCCAAGAGAGGCCAGAATGTGAGCTCTGAGACCTTGATGGTTGTATAGTAGGCAAGGAGGGAGGAACTCTCCGCTGTTTTCTCTAACTGGACCAGCTTAGGGATCTCTCCATCAAATAGTCACCTAACCAGCGCGCAAGAGTACTACTTGTCGCCCGCGCCAAAGTGGCCTCGACTATCGTCTCGCGAGAACGGGGCCGGCCGGTTCTGGTTGCTCTCGCTCCACCCACCCCTCCTCGTTCGCTCTCTCCCATCCCCCCAAGCCATTCGCTCTGCTGCGCAGCTCCCTAAGCGGTTCTCCCCGCCGGAGACGGTTGGAAGAACCGTTGTGGGGAGCGCTACACTAGGCGAGCGACTTCTTCCTCTGGACCGAACCCCGCAAGCACCGGAGTCGGCGCTGCTGTCGTTTGACAGGGTATCTGAAGTAAAAGGGGGTAGGTTGGGCTGGTGGTTTCGTGAGCGGAGTCGGGAGAAGGACGCAAGAGACTGGGAGGGGGTGGGGGGGAAGTGTGGAGGTCGCCGCTTGGAAGCGGCCAAGCTACGCCTGCCAGGCGATCTCCCACTTCACGGGGAGGGCGGCATGTCGGGGGGAGGACATGCTAATGTGAAATTAAGTGAGTGAAGCCGAGGCCCGAAGCGGGGGGTCATCCAGCATTTCTCCTTTCCCTGCTGGTTTGGCCTCCGCCATTTTGGGTACGGTGGCGCGGCCGCCTCGGCTTCCCGCCTTCCTCTCTCTCTACTTTTTGCCCCTCAGTTTCCGAAAACTGCTTTAGAAGGCCGAAGGGTGGTCAGAGCGCCCTGGCGGAGATGAGGGTGGGGAACGAAGCGAGCTGGGAACCGCTGGGCAGTTGGGCGCGGGGAGGGGGGGTGGAATCTGGGCTGACGGGCGCGCTCCCGATGGAAATGGCGCTGGATGGGCCTGGCCTCCCACCGCGGCCTCCCGTCCTCCGCAGTCTCGGCTGCGATACCTGGGCTGGCGGGACTGCGAGTGACTTCTGACGCAGATTTTCAAGATGAGAGAGGCTGGAGCTGGGGGAGGAAAGCCAATGGCGACGAAGGCGCTCAACTCCCAAATCCAGGACAAAGGAGGCAGGCAGAGGTCTTCCTTTGTAACTCCGCCGCCCGGTGGCTAAGGTTTTTAAGCCAGGCTTGGCTGCCGGACGGGGAGGCGGGGGGGGGAAGGGGCGTACTCTCCCTGGCTCTCTGGTCTCCAGGGCAGCTAGATAAACGAAAAGTCTCCGGGGAGGAATAAAGGACGCTTAGACGGCCCTTATATTCCAGGTTTGGAACTTCGAAAAGAGTACGTACTCATTTTCCAAAGGGTTTTTTGTTGTGTGGTTTTGGGTTTTTTTTACGCTTGAACGTAAAGACTTTGTGGGTAATTGTAAACAGAAAAGTGGGTGACTTATCAAATAGGAATGTGAAATGGGCATGTTTCAAGTAGGTCGTCTGGGCCCAGTGAACTGTTACACAGCTTATTGAACTTGGGGGCGGGGTGGGTGGTATAGCAATAGTTCTGTGTAGTTTGGCGCATACCGAGTTAGAACTGAAGTAGGCGTTTTGCATTTGGGAAAAAGTTAAAACAACCAGTGGTGACGAAAGTGTGTGTGTGGGAATTGAGTTACTGTGCGAAGATTCTTGGCGTTGTGCTGTATAAAATACTTTAAAATACAACTGGGGTTGGGGTTTTTGGTAGCTAAGCATGTTTTTTATGTAGTGTGTGGCTACCGTAATGTTTTGACCAAAAACATAGGCCTACTCAACAGAAAGACAAACTGAAAGCGCAGTGCATTCGGTGTGATGATTTTTGGTCCTTAGAACACAGGAGAACTGGGTGGGTAATTTTCGCTGAGGACGACGGTAGGAAAGAGACAAGCAAAGCCTCAGAATAAGAGTTTCCGATAATTTCATACCAATCTTTACAAGAAGTCCCTTATCTACATTTCCAGCTTTAAATGACAGGCAGACGGTAGTACATCTGTGATATAACAGCTTTTCTAAGTGGATTGCCCTGGAAATCTTTTTCTCTGCCCTTGTCTGCGTCATAGTCTGCAAATCCATGTAATTGTCTCTATATTTTTAATTAACTATGTTCATTTTTGGTGGCCTCATATTAGTAAACAACCAACTGAATGTGGTAACTTTGGAAAAGAAATCATTCATAATCCTTTAGCCATTAGTGGTGTGTCTTTTTTAATTTAAAATTGAACAAACACATTGGAAAGAATAATTTAAAATTTCCATTTTAAACATATCACCAATTTTTTGCCAAAATGTGGAGTTCGTTCTCATTTTTTAGGACCAGTGGGCTATCATTTAGACAGTTATTTATTCATGCATCAAACCCTTTACGTATACTTTAAAAGATGTTATAATCTCTGCAATACAGGAATTCTGTTTCATTTGGCCTCTGTTAGATGCTTTTTCTGACAAGCTAAAGTCTCATGCAGAACAGACTTAAATCCTAATAATTTCAACTACTGGTATTTTTCATTGGTGTTAACACTTGGAAATTTTTAAACACAATTATGATTAGCCATAATGCTGTTGCAAAGAAAAGTGAGCTAGATTATCCTGAATAACTAGTACAAATTGGGTAGTTTCTGAGACCACTTTAGTAAGGTACTAAAGCAGATTGTCTTTTTGTATGCCTTTAGAGTTCGTCTTGGTTTTGTTTTGTAAGTAGAATTCTAGACCCAAATTTGGGGTTTTGAAGAAATAACAGAGTGCTTTTATTAAATAATTTTTTAATTTTTATTTATTTTTAGAGAGGAAGAGAGAGAAACATAGTTGTTTGAAAGACCTGGCCCACAACCCAGGCATGTGCCCTGACTGGGAATTGACAGTACCCATCCCACTGATCCACACCAGTCAGGCTGAATGTGCTTTCTTTTTTTTATTGTGTATGCTTAGTGCATGTGGGATGGAGAATTGCCCTATTAAGAGTTTCTTCCAAATCTGGTTAACTTTTCCACAATTTAAAATTGTGTTTACGTTTTTGTGTTTTGTTTTTTTTAAATAAAGGTAGTACTTCGTTGTTTTTATATAGATCTCATTGGTATAGGCTGATCAGAAAGTCAAAACTAGTTTGCTTGCGAATTCTTATAGTAATCTGTTCCCAAAATGGTATCTTCAAATTGACATGTGCTAAATGTTATAAAAAGCACCACATTAATACCTATTTTTTAATTTTTACTTAACTGATTTTTAGGGGGAGAGAGACCTTAATTTTTGTTATTCCACTTATTTATGCATTCACTGGTTGATTCTTGTATGTGCCCTGAGCAGAAATCAAATCCGCAACCTTGGCACATTGGGGTGATGCTCTAACCAGCTCGGCTACGGGGCCAAGGCTTCACAACAGATTGGCTTTGCAAAGTTTTTAAGTTTTTTGTGAGGCAGTAGCATGTGATGTTAGATCTTCTCCACTTTCCCTTACTTTGTTCTTAACATCTTTTGTGGGAAACAGCTATTCCTCAGGTTAGTGCTATTTTCTTAAAAATTTAAGAAAATGGTAGATCTTCAAAATGTCTTTCAACTTTGTTCCCCAAACAGTTTTAGGGGCTGCTTTCAGGGCTACTGGAACAGTATTTTTAAATCATCTAGCTAAATATACATATATTACAGTAAGCATTTTAAAGAAACCCTCTTTTTTTCCCTCTGTGCTTTAGACAGTTTCTAAGGAAACATGGAAGCTTGTGACAGTTTTATTTCCTATTGTCTTTTAAGGTTCAGTTATTTTGTTAGTGGTACATTTCACTAGTTCTGCAGGGCCCCGTAAAATCCAACAATGGCCACTGTTGATTGAGTGGTTACCATGCTGCAGACCAGGCACTGAAGGATTCTTAAAATGGTCCAGTGAGGTATAAGCACCACTGTTGTGTTTTATAGTTGGAGACAGCAACTAAGTAATTTGCTTAAATTAAGTAGCCAGTGAGTGACAGAGCAGGGACTCAAACCCAGTTTCTCTTAAAAGTTCATACTAGTTATTTGTGTGCATGAGACTTAGTTGTAATGTCAGATAAAAATGCATATCCTTGCCATTTGGGATCTTTCTAAAGTGACACCTAGGATTCTTGGTTTTAAAAAAAACCAACAGGTACTAGAGGTGATTCATATGCAGAGATGATTTGATTTATATCCACATTTGGAAATTTCTACACTTAGCTTACTTTTAAATGCTTTTAAATGGGTATCTAGGGGGAAACATTTTATTCTTTGCAGATGCTGCCCCTAACAGTTGCACTGATAATTCAATCGTGAAATTAAATATTAGTGAATATTGTTTATATGAAATATTCTTGAGCATAAAGGAATCAAGTGAACAAATTGTTTTATTTACAGGGGAGGAGGTGGTGAGGGAAGGTTTTGAAATAAATCAGGTGAGTAGGATTCCTACAGCTGCATAATGAAATTTGTAAGCTCTGGTAAGTTTCTGCAGCTGAAGGACTTCTGCATTAACCTTTTTGAAGTGTTCTGGTATCTTAAAAGGAAGGATGGATGTCTTGGGAAGGGAACAGGGTGGTGGGTTCATTTTGGAGGGGAAAGAGGGCCTCATTATACTCTCTAATACTTTTTGAATGTGAAGGTATTGTCATTTTAAAAAATTTGTGTCTTGGTTTTTAATATCTTATCTCCAGTAACTTCCAAAATGGATGGCTTCAAAAAACACTGATACTGTCAGAAATGCCTTTTTACCTCCATTCTTAAAATTCAACCTAATTTTAGTCCTTAACCCTTGGTGTGGAGTATTTGAATCAGATTTAGTTTAAATAGTGATAAAAAATCCCCCCCCCCAAAAAAAACAGTTTGTTATGTTCAGAATTATAGTGCATCTGATAAATGTACATTTTTTTGTGATATGTCTTCCAACATCAAAGTAGTACTTGTTCTTTTGACTTTGGCTTACTGTGAGTGGGTGGTGGTACTATATGCATACTTTTGAGTGGTTAAGTTTAAAAGAATTTGCAAAACTGTACAAGTGAATAATAAAACCTGGAAAATATGAATGAAAATTTGAGAGATGAAGAAGAGGCGGAGTTGATGGTAAATGACAGGGTTGAGAAGTAGGAAGTGTTTGAAGACTTAAGAGGAATTATGTAAGCTTTCTTAAAATTAAGCAGTATATGTTTGCTCCTTAGAAATTCAGTACTTTTTTGTGGGGGGAGAGGTCAGGTTTCACTGCCCTTCCTCCCCCCCCCTTTTGCCTACCTCAAAACAGAAAGGTGGTTTGCCATCGTATTGTGTAGCATTGTCACTGGAGTCACTGAGCTGTATGTTACATTTCCTGTTGTGCACCACTGAAGAGGTGTTTCTTCAGTACCTCTGATGAGTATATTTTGATTGACTGCTTTATGTGCTTGTTTATTTTTTTTATAGCGTTTAAATCAAACGGTATTGAGATGGATTGGGTTATGAAACATAATGGTCCAAATGACGCTAGTGATGGGACAGTACGACTTCGTGGATTGCCATTTGGTTGCAGCAAAGAGGAAATAGTTCAGTTCTTTCAAGGTACCTCTAGTATTAGTCAAAGTTTAGTAGTATTTTAATTTTACATTATATTACTCAGTTTTTAATTTGCAAAACCCAGTTGCTTGGGGACTTTTTAATTTGAGTGTGATATCTTGGTTAATGTATAAAGTTACGAAACTTGCTCCAGTTAATATTCCATACAGAATGTGTAGAATATGTAAAACCTAACTACTGTGCAAAAAACTTAATTGAGTAATATGTGTGATGAAATGAACCGTGAATTAGTATATGGAACATAGTTAAATTTGATTTGAGCTTTTTTAATGTAATATAGGTGGGCTTTTAGAGTGTATAATTTTAAAAAAGACACTGGTCGCAAAAATAATTATGTAATCCAATATTTGAAAAAAACTTCCATTTGTATTATGGGGTGATGGGGAACTAAGCATTTTTTGTTTTGTTTTGTTTAGACTTGTTTTAAATATTTGATTCAGATGGGAATGTTTCAGCCTTTAACACTGTTCCCCTTGATGGGGTTATTTGTCCTTGGGTTAAAGGGTTGGAAATCGTGCCAAATGGGATAACATTGACGATGGACTACCAGGGGAGAAGCACAGGGGAGGCCTTCGTGCAGTTTGCTTCAAAGGAGATAGCAGAAAATGCTCTGGGGAAACACAAGGAAAGAATAGGGCACAGGTGGGGATGGAGAGTTTGGGATGGTGTTAAATTTTTATTTTTGGGGGTTGTGGGTCACTATTGCTTAAGTGGGGGGGTAACAGTAACATTTTTCTGGGGTAGTTTTAAAAGAATTGATAATTATCTAAATTTAACTTGGAAACTACAGATTTGGGTGGGGAATTAATACTAATAGTTTGATTAAATTAAAATTAGATTGTTTCCATTTCTCTGTAGGATGTTTTGATAAATGTTTTTGTGTAATCAACTATTTTCTCTAAACACCTATCATGTACTTAAAGAAAAGCTAAAATATATATTTCAAATGACTAACTTGTATATGTAAAACTTAAATATTAATTATTTAAGTTTGAAGGTGTAAAAAATGTTAACTTTATGGTGTGTTTAGGCAATTTAAATTGGGTTATGTATCTGGATGTAGAAAAACGTACTGCATTTTGCCCAATATCTTATTTACTCTAATACATTTACGCTGAAACCTGTACCTTAAACCATTTTTAAATAGGTATATTGAGATCTTCAGAAGTAGCAGGAGTGAAATCAAAGGATTTTATGATCCACCAAGAAGATTGCTGGGCCAGCGACCAGGACCATATGATAGACCAATAGGAGGAAGAGGGGGTTATTATGGAGCTGGGCGTGGAAGTATGTATGACAGAATGCGACGAGGAGGTGATGGATATGATGGTGGTATGTGTATCTAATGAACAAAGGTTCTGTTGTCATTTTCTTAATGTTCCTGACACTTTGTCAAGAAATATAGAAATGGCAGTAATTTCAGTACCTGCTAGGTTTTAAAACCTGTTCATGAAAATGTGAGTTCCCATGGCCAGCTATGGGACTTGATTGATGCACATATTGGCCCCTAAATGACATACACAGAAATTAAAATGAAGGTATTGGTATGTTTTGACATTTTCTGTTTGATAACGGGGGGGGGGGGGGATTAATTTTGATATCTAAATGTATTCTTCTGAAGTTTTTAATTTCTACCAAGTGTTAACTGCTGTTTTCACATGTTGGGAGTTGCAAACTTGTAATGATTAACCAAACTGCTTACCACAAAGTATGCTTTTGTAAACTACATTATAAAATTTATCTCTTTAAAGTATATTCATGTATTTCTCGAATTACACAGGTTATGGAGGTTTTGATGACTATGGTGGCTATAATAATTATGGCTATGGAAATGATGGCTTTGATGACAGAATGAGAGATGGAAGAGGTAAACTCAATGTTGAAAACATACTCGTTTTAGGTGAATTTTGGTATTTGCTTTACAACCACTTAGTTATAGTATAGATGACTTAACATAAAGTCAGCTGGGGCATATTTTAGTTCATGCTACATAGGGCCTTATATGGATGTATACTTAGTGGTAAATTCTCCATTTGAGGATTAGAACAATTATAAGTGTTACATCTCTTGAGCTTGTCAAAACGGTGTGAATAGGAAAATACATGTATAGGGAAGAACCGTTAAAGTGCTTTTCTACGTGTATCAGTTTATAACCTGCAAATGTTTCTTTAGGCATGGGAGGACATGGCTATGGTGGAGCTGGTGATGCAAGTTCAGGTTTTCATGGTGGTCATTTTGTACATATGAGAGGACTGCCTTTTCGTGCAACTGAAAATGACATTGCTAATGTGAGTAATTTTTGTAATTAAGTAATTAGTGGTTTTATACTAATCCTGGTATCTACATTTTGAAGCATTCTTAATGTTCTCATCTTTATAGCTTTAATATCAGAATCCCTTTAAGGTGAAAATATATATTGGATGGATGGATGATGGATGGATCTATATACCTTCAGTAGTTCATGAATATTTTTGTGTCTGTTGTGTGCTGACCTACATAGGATTCAAACAAGTAAAGGCTCCATTCATAAAGTCCAGCTAAAAATTTAGTGAAAGCCCTAACCAGGTGGCTCAGTAAAAGCTGACTGAACAGCATAGAATAGTGATGGCTGGAACATTGTTTCTCTTGTGTAGAAATTGTGAAAGTATAAATTTGTTAACAAGTGAAAAGTTTTAAGTAGTTTGGTTTGGCTCTCTGGGCTGTATGATCAGAAGCTGAAAGTAATGGAAGTAGATACTGCTATTGATTTAAAACTGGTTGGTTTCATGCTGGCCGGAGAATCAGCAATCTTCAGCTGATGGGCCATCCAGTCACATTCATTTACTTAGTAGTTTGCTCCCAGTAGCCTGTAAAGCCAAGAGTATTTACTATCTAGCTTTTAAAGAAAATTTTTGCTCTAGCTCCAGTTGGCCTAAGTTCCAGGTGCCTTTTCAGATCACTTAAACCTAGTTAACTTCTGATTAGAACTAAGTGATACATTTTTGGAGCTATCCATATATATTTGGGTAGACTTATCAAACTCCATTTTTTTGAGTCATACACCCAGTTTCAAATACCTTTCTTGGGAGTGCGGGTATGGTGCTTATTCTCCTTCTCAGAGGTAGGGTATGAGACTTTTTCATCTGTTTAGAATAAACTATTTTCTGGATTACAAATGTTTTTCTTTTAAAATTTAGTATTACCTACCTTATATTAGAAAGGGAATAATTTCTATGTTTTCCTAAGTGTGTATAGTCCTAAATTCCTAGAACCCCTGGAGTTGATAAAATTACTAGCCTTGCAACACAAGGCAGTAGAAGGGTTTGTTTTAATGGAGAAGGAAAAACAAAGGCATGTGGTAATTTCAGTAATATAAATAGAAAAGTAACAGGTCCTTCTCTTTAGTTCTTCTCACCACTAAATCCCATACGAGTGCACATTGATATTGGAGCTGATGGCAGAGCAACAGGAGAAGCAGATGTAGAGTTTGTGACACATGAAGATGCAGTAGCTGCCATGTCTAAAGATAAGAATAATATGCGTAAGTAGTAGCCTTGGCATGCTATCTTATTTTGTGGGTGTGAACTTGTTCTAAATGTTCAGGCCTTAATAGTTTTCTAGGGAGTGGCTGCCCCCGCTTTCTTTCTTTTCTTTTTTTTTTTTTTTTTAAGATTTTATTTATTTTTAGAGGGAGGGAGAAAAACCACAATGTATGAGAGATACATTAATCAGTTGCCTCTGGCCCACAACCCAGTCATGTGCCCTGACCAGGAATCGAACCAGCAACTCTAGGGGGCTTTTTATTGAAGTGTTCATTCACACTCTTAATACTTAAACAAATTTAGAGCTAAAGTTATTAAAGGGGGAAATAGGTATGTTAAATGCACTTGACTGAGTTCCCATGCCTTTTGCCAATTAGTACCACTTCTTAACCTATACATTGATAAACTTGGGTGAGTTATTCTTGCATTCATCAAATCAGTTTTTAAGCCATTAAATTTCATCTCAGCCAGTGATTGCCAAATCTGGGTACACATTAGTCACTTGGTACTTAGTAAAAAGTTCTCCTGGCCCTGGCTGGTGTGACTCAGTGGATTGAGCACCAGCCTGAGAACCAAAAGGTTGCTGCTTCAATTCCCAGTCAGGGCACATATGTAGGTTGCAGGCCAGGTCCCCAGTTCAGGGTGTGTGCGAGGCAGACAATTGATATATGTCCTGCACGTTAACATTTCTCTCCCTCTCTTCCTCCCTCCCTTCCCCTCTCTCTAAAAGTAAATAAATAAAATCTTTTTTTAAAAATGTTTTCTTGCACACTACTCTTAAGATTCTAACAGTTCTTTGATTGGGCCTGGAATCTTATTTTTAAGAAGTATACCAGCTGGTTCTGAAATAAAGAATCAGTTCTTTTTATAGATAAAGAAGCTGAGGCCCCAAATATTACTTGTTTAAGGCTATACAGTTTGAAAGAAATCTGGTTTTTAGCCCTGTTCACCATTCATCTTATTACTCCCCTTGGAATTTGTAAGCATACATTTAGATTAATATTGGCCTTTATTATGCTTTGATAAATTTAATCCATTGTTTCTCCTCTGTTACTTTTTTTCTAAAGAACATCGATACATTGAACTCTTCTTGAATTCCACTCCTGGAGGTGGCTCTGGAATGGGAGGTTCTGGAATGGGAGGCTATGGCAGAGATGGAATGGGTATGTAAAGTTTTTTTAAGTAAGTGGAGTTAGATACCTAGCAGTCAACCTCAAAAAAAATTTACTTTTTTTTTTTTTTTTTTTTTTTTTTTTAAGATAATCAGGGTGGTTACGGATCTGTTGGAAGAATGGGAATGGGGAACAATTACAGTGGAGGTTATGGGACCCCTGATGGCCTGGGTGGTTATGGTAAGTGTCTTTGGTTACTCTGGTTCAGTTTGTTAGTCCTCATAAATGATACAGATTATCTTCTACATTGATACCTCGTACTAAACAATTCTTAATGTCTTTTCCCTAAGGTCGTGGTGGTGGAGGCAGTGGAGGTTACTATGGGCAAGGTGGCATGAGTGGAGGTGGATGGCGTGGAATGTATTAGAGCATAACCACCAACATAATAGTCCTGACAACAGCATCTGGTCTACTAGACTTTCTTACAGATTTAATTTCTTTTGTATTTTAAGAACTTTATAATGACTGAAGGAATGTGTTTTCAAAATATTATTTGGTAAAGCAACAGATTGTGATGGGAAAATCTGTTTTCTGTAGGTTTTATTTGTTGCATACTTTGACTTAAAAATAAATTTTTATATTCAAACCACTGATGTTGATACTTTTTATATACTAGTTACTCCTAAGGATGAGCTGCTTTCATAAGCTTTGGGTTGATGTATTTTATTATTAGCTCTACAAGTAGTAGTACAGTGATTGTAGAGGATGGTGGTTCACCTCTACATAGTCTGCAAGGCTTAATAAGCAGACACCTGGAATAGAATTTGAAAAGTAGTGTAACTTTTAATTTCTCCTGGACAATACTGTAAATACAAAACGTAAAGATGAGTTTAGATGGTTTCAGGAGTATAAGTTCTGCTAATTCTATATTAGTGTTTTTCAAATGTCACTTATCAGGCATAGCTCTGAAATGTTGATCTAAATGAGAGTTATCTGGGTTTCTGAATATTCATAATTGTGTTGCCCAAGGATAGCAATGTTGGACATTAAATTCTAGCCCTAGATTTTAGAATTAAAAATCTCCTCAGCACTTGACTGAAGTACCAAAAAAATGTTTCCAAAAACTGACAGTTGTAAGTTATCTCAAAAATGTCTTAGACTAGGTTAAGGTTCTAGAAGTGAATTGAGAATTCAGTACAAAAGTATTTACTGTGGAGTATAATTCTCACAGATGTATTTTCAGTTTTCAACCCAATAGTTAAAGCATATGTTTTGTTGTTTTTTAATATCTGTATAAATACTTTAAAAATGTAACAGAAGTCCATGTTGTCTTAAAATGATAGTCCTACAGTTGGGTTTTTCATCTGCTATCTGTTTGGAGTTTTAGAGCCATTGTGTTAAAAAAAAAAAACAAAAACTATATGTAGCAAGGAAAAGGTGCTTTTTACTTTTAATCCTTTGATCAATATGGCTTTTTTCCAAATTGGCTAATGGATCAAAATGAAACCTGTTAATGTGAATTCAGTTACTGAACTTGTTATTTGTTTTTGCTAGAAATGTTAATGTAATAAATATCAATGTGGGAGATAATAGTATGGCGTCTGTCCTAGAATGCTTTGTGTCAATTTCTGATTTTAAATCAAAAGTAGTAAATATGTCTAACTGAAGATTAGTCAAAGTGACTCCTAAAGAGTGATTTCTGCTTTAGAGACGGTAGCTGTGATGGCCTAAATGGAGTTTATCTGCTAAAGCAATGATGAATCTTAATGCCTATACTCACTCCCTTAACTACCATTTAAATATTAGTCTCATGTCCCTTGTTTTAATCCTCGCCCAAGGACATACTTTCATTGCTTTTTTAGAGAGAGGAAGGGGTAAAGAAACATTGTCTTGTACATGCTCTGACCTGGAATTGAACCCATTGAACCCATGACCTTTATTTAGATCTTTGGGATGATACTCCAACCAGCTGAGCCCCACCAGCCAGGGTCCACTTATACTTTTTTAGAGATCACGTGTGCTTTTATTTTCCCAGGAGTACTTTATTAAAATCTTGAAGCAGTGAAAATATAAAATGTTATCAGTGAAAGTTGTCCTTCTAAAGCAGGCTACGTTTTCCAATTTTTGGTTTATAAAATTCACATTTTATTTTAAAACATTACAGGGTAGAAGAATTACAATCACAATTTCTTGGCACCATGATAGCATTATTGTGTTAGTACTAGCTAGATGAGGGAATGCTATGTGAAGTTTACTAAGATAAATATTTTCTGTGAGAGCAGATATTAACTTGAAAAGTAAAAGTAGGTTCACAACCACAAAGTACAAATTCAAAGTTTGTAACATAAATTTCAAAATTAGTACGAATGGTTTTTATAAAAGAGCCAAACTGAATAGAGCAAGTTGTATTGCTGTCATAAAAGCTTGCCTACAAAAACCCCAAATCAATGGTAATACATCAGTTTTAAATGGGAAAGAATTTGGGCGGGGGGGGGGGGGAACACACTAAAAACCATGATTAAACAGCTTTGGAATTTAAGCAGGAATCACATTTAAAAATTTGTTCTATGCACAGTAATAAAAAACACCTATTTGAAAATTCTCCTTTTTGCTTAATCGCATTTTCAGCAATCATAAAAATGTTAATCCATCCCATCAATATACAAAACAGTTTTCAAGAATATAATTTATCTCTTGAGGACATTTCTATCAGAGCAAGAAAGACCACCTAAAAATCTGTCAGCTCCAACTGAAGACCTCAAACTGAGTTATGGAGAAAATCTTTGAGTAAAATACTAGTTTCACACTTGGGCAATTTAGAAAAATAATTTTTGAGCTTAATGAAAGTAAGTACTCTGAGGAAATGATCCTGCAGAGTAAGTAACCCCATCGTAGGGGGCAGGGGGTGGTCATGATTAAATTCACTACATATAATTGCTTTTAGGAATAATGTAAGGTTATCCTAACATGACATTGTTTGAAAGGTTCATAGGCATAAAGTGCATGTCTGATACTAATTTTTTTAAAAATGTAGGTTCCCTAGTAATACTCAAGCGACTGTACAATGGTATCTTACTTTACAGATTAAATCCTTGATATGCTATAAGCAATGTAACAAGGTTAGTGTTTATTCACTCTCATGCTTATAAATGGTTAAAGTGTTATTTTGTGGCGGGGTTGACCATTTGTTAACTGGCCCTGGCGTAGAGGTGCTCAATTTATGGAGAATTTTTTACTCTATATACTGCAGTAGTGGACCACTGCAATGTAATGCTTAAAAGTTAACTAGATCTGCAAGTAACACGGTAAAGGATGATGGTTTAACTTGTTTCAAAATAACCTCTTTAACCCACTGTATCCAAAGGATATCAGCAACTACAACATTGATTTTAGAGAGGAGGAAGACCAAAAGAAATTTTATAGGATAAAACATTGGCCTGCCTTAATGCAAAGTAGGCAAAGGAAGGGAGGGGGAAAGGGTCAAATAAATACAGATGACATCTTACCAAGCTAATGGAAAACCTGTTGAATTGGGAGTATAAACACTTGTAAAAAGTTGTACATGTTTCCAGTCTTGCTCTGAGACCCATGAAGCTTTAAAGTGCATTAAGAAAACTTAGAGGCACCATCAAATATAAACTCGACAACTTGGAGAATAAAACAATCTGAAGCCCTATTTTTAAGAAGGCCTTTATAAAATAAGGCAGATGTGTATTAGCTATGCTATCTGGCCTTTCAATGTCATTAAGAGTTATGTGATAATTACATGAATTAGGAATTTGGTTAAAGTTCTTTTAAAGCATGCCCTGTTGAAAATTCTTTTTGAATAATAGTGGGAAGGAAATACCAAATTATACAATTTAATTCCCATGAATTGAAATGTGAAACAAAACTGGTACTAGTATTGTCTGAAAGTTGCTTCAGAAGGCTGTCTGATTATGTTGTGCACATGTTCCTACATAACATTCATCACAGGTACTTTCATACAAGGAAGATTCAGTTCTGGAGTCTTACGGCAAATTAGATGAGCATCTCTGAATCAGCAACGCGTGACAGGAATCACAAACCCGTACTGGCTTTGGTGAAGAAGGCAAAGGCAGTTCGTTGTCAGAGCAAGCGTTACAGAAAATTTCTCCACAGTTTCTACAGTGGTGCTATTCATTTGAGGGGGAAAAAAGAAAAAAACGAGTAAAGTTAAAAGCATATTTGCACCAAAACTTTTGGACTCGCTTTTATATTTCCTTTACCTTTCTCTTAGAGAGTGAGAATTCCTTTTCACAAAGCTTACAATGTGTCGCTTCTTTGTCTTTCAACCAGACCAGTCCCTAGTAGGAGAAAAAGTAACTATTAATGCTCAAATTGGTAACTAAAAATTAAACATTTTCCACCAAAGACATTTTACAGGAATTTATACAAAGAATCAAAAATGAGTCCTTTGAGAGAGAGAGTTGTAGGTTAATTGTGTGAACTTTGCTTCATCATAATGAGGGAGAAGGGATGTGGGTTGTACATAAAACAAGATTGGCCATATATTGGTAAATACTAAAACTAGGTAATGGTTTGTTTTACTCTCTACAACTATATATGTTCGAATATTTTCATGATAAAAAGTTTATTTAAAACTATTACTGATGGGAGTTTCTTTAAGGAAAGAACCTTAAATATTATCTAGTCCAGCAACACTTAAGGATAAATTTTCACTGAAATGCATTTGACTTTGGCATCATATATACTTTATACACAGTAATCCCATAAAACTTAGAATTTGGAAATAGGATGTTTGAGTTCATTAGGACCACATTAAATTCAGTTTTACATGGCCATTGATTTCCCTCAGGTTCTGTAATCACACATTTAATAGCTACTGTGTAAACTTTAGTAGTCTTAAGGTGGGAGTTAACTTGGTATCTGAAATTTCTAACTTGATCCATTCATAAACCACCAAGATCTTGGCTAGAAAGAGCATCCCCCCCCCCCCCCCCCCCGCTATAAAAGCAACTTTGTATAGATGGTGCCAGTTTTATAATGAAAAGACTGGGGTAGAAGGAAGAAACCTCAATGCTTCTGATCTCATCACATGTTCCTTTTAAAAAGAGCCTGGCCCTGGCTGTTGTAGCTCAGTGGATCAGGTGCCAGCCTGCAAACTGAAGGGTGGCCAGTTCAGTTCAATTCCCAGTGTGGGCACAAGCTTGGGCTGGGCCCCGGTCCCCAACTGGGGGCGTGTGAGAGGCAACCAATCAATGTTTCTCTTGCACATTGATGTTCCTCCCTCTTTCTTCTTCCCTTCCCCTCTCTTCCAGAATGTCAGTTACCCAACCTAAACTCAGAACACCCCCCACCCCCTACCACCACCACCACCACAAGACAGGATATTAGAGGATCGTCTTCTGGAGAAACTCAACTGCCCCAGAGAAAAGTCCTATTGATACTACCATTTATGTGGAGAGGGTACCCAACTAGCAACTAGAAATCTATTAACTAGCAACAGATTTCTCTATGCTGAAGCCTATCCATCTATAACAACCCACCCTAATCCACCCAACAGTCTCACACACACGGCATCCAAGGTTGGTTGTGTCTTACTGAAATTGGGGGATTACTCAACATTTGAGGAATGACCTGGGCCTGAGCTACCTCAAAGAAACAAACTCAGAAGAAATACAGAATGGCAATAGCAAAAGAAAATTTTAAAGAAAAAATGAATATCCTGAGAGATAAAACAGGGTACTATTTTTAAAAGGAAAAGTGAGCAAATAGGAGCCTACTAAATGTTAAAAATACGGTAGCGGAAGTAAGTTTCAATGCAGGTTGCATAAGACTAGATTTAACGTCCAGTTTACAGGCAGTAAGGGCACAGAAGAACCAGTTTAAGACTACTATGAGCAAGTAATCATAAAATCCAACATGTGGTAAACTATAGGACAGCTGTTCCAGACCTAACAGCTGGTCAAAAAAAAAAAGCAAGCATGTCACATGTAAATCTACTTTCATACATATGAAAATATGGAAATCTAGGTAATTTGTTAAAGATAGACATGAATGATAAAACTAAAAAACAACAATTAGTCATACAGAATAGCAAGATTGTTACTATAGGGAGAAGAATGCAATTGGAGCACACGTGTTCTATTTTATAAGCTAAAGCAAAGAGTATGCCAGCATTTCAAAGCTGTACTGTATGATATCTTTAACAGTGAAAAAAATTTCAGAGAATTTAAATAGTGACAGTTAGGCAAACACCCCTGCCGATCTCCTTAAGAAGTGAGAGCAGCCCTGGCTGGTGTGGCTCAGTGGACTGAGTGAGAGGCAACCACACATTGACGTTTCTATCCCTTTCTCCTTCCCTTCCCCTCTCTCTAAAAATAAATCTTTAAAAAAAATTTTTTTACAGTGAGAGCAAAATAAAGGAATATATAGATGTGCAAATTCTTAAAATACTTATCTTTGTTCACCACTTTACAGGAAGCTACCGAAGGATGCACTGACCAAAACAGGGGAGTAAACCAAGAAAGAAGTTCTGGGGTTGCGGGTCTCCACTGTATGAAAACAGTAAAGGGAACTCGGAGAATGGCAGCAAAGGGGAGTGTCAGGGCAGGGGTGACCAGACAAGACAGGGGCAGAGGAAAGCAGAGAACTCCAAGAAGGAAGGAAAAAAACAACTAACATATTACTGGATAAAATGGTGCTATTTTTAAAAGGGTACCACATGCAAAATTCTTATCAAGAAGTATTTTATAGAGATATTAAAATGATGTTTAAATACAGCTGAATTTAAAAAGAAAAAGGCAATTAACTCCAGATGAAATAAAAGTAGTTAAAGAAAGAAAATATAATTACAATATACTACTTGGCCCAACAAAGAACAATACTTAAATAGTCATAATAAAGAATATACATTAAATGAATTCCACAAAAAAACTTTTGAAAGCTAGCAAAACTCATCCAGCACATTAACCAGGTAATAGATAGGTCTAAAATAGGTCTTAAATAAATTAAGAGCAAACAGTATATACTGCATATCATCTACAAATAGGTGGATAAATGTCCAAAGAAACAAAAGAATTGAAAGTAGCCCCCCTCAGGTGGCAGGAACTAAGGTGGATAAGGGACAAGAAGATGAACAAGAAACTGCTACCATTATTTGTTTCTAGCACTATTTTTTTTTTTAATTATTCTACTGTAACACTTTCATAAAAAACAAAATGGGGCCCTGGCTGGTGTGGCTCAGTGGACTGAGTGCCATCCTGGGAACCAAAAGGTCACCGGTTTGATTCCCAGTCAGGGAACATGCCTGGGTTGTCAGCCAGGTCCCCAGTTGTGGGCACATGAGAGGTAACTGATCGATGTATCTCTCACACATGGATGTTTCTCTCCCTTTCTCAATCCCTTCCCCTCTCCCTAAAAATAAATAAATAAAAATTTTTAAATGGGTAGCTTGTGTAAGAAGCAGCCATCTGTCACTGAAGTACTCCGACACTATATTTTCTCCTATGCTATAGAAGGGATTCTTGCATCCAGGCACATTCAGAACCATATACCGATAAATTGTATCAATGACTTTCATATCTTTTAACCTACCCAATATTCAAAGCAACCACATGCACAATCATAAGCCCATTTCAGAAACGGAAACAATGAAGATATGTGACTTACTGAAGGTGTAAAAATTAGAAAGTAATAGACTAGCACAGGAACTCAAGGATTCTCCAATTCAAAGGTAATTCCATTCATCATGCCACACTTTATAGGAAAGCGGACAAAGTGAACTGGATCTGCATCACCCAGGCTCCCCATTCAGCGTTTTTGCCTCTAAAATCCTGGGACTCAATAGTAAGTTTTAAATAGGGCTCTACCTTCTACTGAAGACTTTCACATATATCTGTGTCTTCCTACTTGAGAAAAACACGTTCTACTCACCTGCAATGCTTTGTTGGCTTCTTTTATATCTTCGATTTTAAGTTTTGATCTAAAAAAATTACAAATAGTTCTGAATTTCAGTACATATATTTAAACATAGAACATCTAGTAATTCATTAGAAAGGTACTGCTTTTACATAATATGTAAAAGATTAAAATTGTTTTTTAAAGAATATTTTCATGTGGTTATGACAATATTAATAATAGCTATCATTTATGGTATGCCAGACATGCTATAACCTTTCGTGCATAATCTCATTTAATCTTCAAAAAGCCTACTTTCACGATGAAGACAGTGAGTTCTGAGGAGGTTTAGTCACTTTTAACAGGTCACAGAGGTGGTAACTGTGGAAGCCAGGATTCAAACCCTGGTCTAGTGTGACCCCAAAGGCAACACGCTACCATCATGCATATTATTTGTTTAACCGATGCAAAAAGTGGAAAAATTAAGGATATAGTAATAATACTTTTTCTTTTAAATTTATTGGGGTGACATTGGTTACTAAGATCATATAGGTTTCAAGTGCACATTTCTATGATGCATGGATCTGCATATTGCATTCTGTGCCCACCACCCAAAGTGAAATCATCTTCGTCACCATGTATTTGGCCCCCTTTACTCCTTACGACCCCCCACCCCATTCCTTCTGATAACCACCATACTGCTGTCTGTGTCTATGAGTTTCAGTTTTAATACTTTTTCTTCTGAAAATAAATGTTAATGGACATGCAGATTATAAATAGTAATATGTAATTACCTGTGATCCTACTTCCCAGAGATGATAATCTCTACATGTTGACGAGTGTGCGTGTATTTTAAATGGAATCATTATTGACAATTTTCTATAACGAGCCCTTTTCACTTAACAATATAACCTGAAAAGCTCAGGACTACTCACTTACTAAGTATCTGCCACATCATTATATTATATAATCACAAGTATACCCTGAAACATGAGAATATAATAAATGTGACACAATCAATTGTGACACTATAGGAAAACATCTATAACTAGTCCCTGAGAATCCTGAAAGCCCTGACATTGAGGGGAAAAAACTATAAAAGTTTATTTATACAAAAAATAGCATTCAAAGAATACTATATTTTGAGAGTCCTAGTAATTTTTTTCTAAACTAAAAATTATTCTTGTTGGCATTTAACCCTTGGTGAGGATAAGGGAGAAGCTGTTTATCATCTTTAATGTATTTTAAAACTATCATTATAACACAGATAAATTAGATTCTCTTCTTTGAATATTCCAACCTAATATTTTGTTTGCTCCATGTTTTGTTCAAATATGAATAGTTCAAGTTTATTTCATTTCTTTAATCCTCAATCAGAAAGTCTATCTACTATTAAAATTTATTTAGAAGAAAAACATTTAAAACCTTTAAAAATTCTATCAAAAATTCTCTCTTAAGGATCCTTAAATAAGAAATGAAGAGTCAAATATGGCATTATTAAAAATATTTTCTAATTAAAATTAATCCTTTATATTTAAAATTGCAAGTTCAAAATGTAAGCATGGAAGAGTAATTTTCAGATCCAACCTGCTCATCTTATAGACAAAACAACTGATATTCTGGCTGCTATGAGGAAAAGGCACTGTGCTAGGTGCTTTCACATACTTAGTTTCAGTTAATCAGAAAAAGAACTGCAGGAATTTTATAACTCTAGTTTTCAAATAGAGAAATGGGATTAAGAAGGCAATGAATGACCCTAAGTCACACAGTTGGTGAATGGTAGAGGGATACTAATTCCTGTGAATCACATTAATGAACACTAATTTTTAAATTTAGTCATAAGTTAAAAAGGCAAATCTGGAATGATAAATCTAAAAACTATTCTTGCCCTGGTTGGTGTGGCTCAGTTGACTAAGCCCGGCCTGTGAACCAAAAGGTCGCTTGTTTGATTCCCAGTCAGGGCACATGCCTGGGTTGCTGGCCAGGTCCCCAGGTGTGGGTGTGAGAGAGGCAGCCTGTTGACATTTCTCTCTCGCATCAATGTTTCTCTACCTCTCTTTCTCCCTCCTTTCCCCCTTTCTAAAAATAAATAAATAAAAGCTTTCTTTTAAAAAAAGAATCAACCAATGGGTGTATAAATAAAATAAGTGGAACAAAAAACTGATGTTTCTCTCTCTCCTCTTTCTCTCCGCCCCTTCCTCTCTCTCTCAAATCAATAAATTTTTAAAAATGTTTAAAAAAGAATTCAAACATTAGCAAGGAAAAAACATACATCATAAATGAAGTGCAAAAACAAATGACACACTAGGGTAAAAAAGATTTACACTGCATAACAATTAATTTACAAAGGCCCCGTTAGAAAAAGATGAGCAATTCAACCCAAAAAATATACAAAGTACAGGAGCAGGCAGTTTTCAGGAAATAAACTGCAAGTGCAAATAGAACACAAATATAGATGTCAACCCTGCTCATAGTTAAAGAAATATAAATCGATATTTTTAATCATCAGAATGGCAAAAAGAGACATTCTTCCCTACATCTGGAGGGGGTCTAACATTGGAGGTGGAGGGTAAACTGGCACAATCAAAAAAGTTTTAAAGCACATTCTGTTTGGCCCAGCAATCACCTCTGGGCACTTACTTTTCAAATATACTCATTAAAGTATATCTAGATATATCAACATACACTTAACAAGAATATTCACAGCAGTACTAGTTATTTAAAAAATTATAGTTTTTTCTTTTTAAATTAGGAACACTTTAATGATAGCACGTTCATCCTAAGGAGTATCTTTATGTACTGATATGGAAAAACCTCGAACACATATTCTTAAGTAAAAAAACCCACAACCTTCAGAAAAACATTTCATACAATGGAGTTACATAGGTATTAGGTATGTAGTCAGTTTACAAGGGAAAAATTTAGTAGTCAAAATAACCCTTGAGAATTCCTTAAGTAGTCCATAAAGTTCAGTATAGATTGTTAGGTATATCTGACCTTGAGCAGTAATTTTCATGCAAACTAAACTTTGAGAAACAATGAACCAGGCTAAAGTTAAAAATCAAAAGTCTGAATTCAGCTATCTGGACAGCCGAAAGATCATGCTTTTAATACAACTATAAAATCTCTAGTATTGAATGAGAGATAAGCAAAAAGTAATACATACTCCTTCTTTTACTATTCTAATCTATTTTAATATTAAACCTCTATGATCTTAATAAATGTAAATCTATTTTTTTGTTGTGGGGATTATTCACTACTGGGCCCCTAGCATTTAGAATAGTGCCTGGCCCAAAGCAAAAGCTCAACAAGTAAAATGAATAAATGGGAAACAAGGTAATGAGCACTTAGCACAGGGTCTGGCTCAAAGTGGTCCATATAGGGATGCCAAATTAAAATTGAAACCTTGCTTAGAGGAATTGCAATGCAAATGTTCTTTGAATTTATAGAAGTAAAAACTGTTATCTTTTTGATAGCTGATATTTCCTTTTGTGGTTTTAGTAAACTACTCTTTCCTCTGGCCTAGGAAATTGGTCTCAAGACTTCTTCACGGAATCCCATCCTTGGCAAAACAGACTATGGAACAAGGAGGAATATGTGAGGCAGAACACCATTTCTTTCTTGTCTTCATAGGAACCCAACACTTCACTGCAACAGAACCAACCAAAGACACTATGAACTTACACCCTTCACTTCTCACAATGTTGGGTCCTTCTCAGAACACTCTGAAAAAGCTAGCTTCTGTTGCTCTGAGAAAAATATATTAACTCCTGAATATTCTGATTGGAAGGAATTAACAGTCTTAGCTTTCATGTCATAAGAAAATACTTAGAACTAAGATCTAATACAGTGAAAACTTTTAATAAAATCACTCCAACCTACAGTCTTATTTGTTAATCTTTAAAGTTTTTGTTTTTTATTGTATTTTTTCATTACCTCATATCCCCCTATGCTCCCTCCCTTCTGCAACCAACACACTGCTGTCCAGGTCCATGAGCCCTTTTTCCTGTTTGCATGATCCCCTCACCCTCTACCCCACACCACCCGCCCTGCCGATAGCTGCCATCCTGCTCTCTATCTATTAAGTCTGGTCTTGTTTTTAATAGTTCATATCTTTCTTTTCTATATTTAAACTTTTCTGCCTATTTGGCTTGGCACCCTCATACCTTCATAAAAGTCAATGACTATTTAGCTGAAGGAAAAAAAAGAAATTACTCGCTAAGTTTGTTGCCAAGTTCTTGAAGAGCTTGCTCCTGTTCGTGATACGTTTTTTTCAGCTGCTGATTTTCATCCTGGAGGTTAAGGAACTCCTTCAAAACAATAAAAGACAGAAAATATAATTCATAAGCAAGAAATGAGAAACTTCACATTACATACATACCATTAATTAGGAATACAAATCCTTTAGCTTTTTATAAAAAACAGAAATGTAAGTCCAAAGCTCTTTCATAACTGCTCTATCAATTATCAACTACTTCCCACTCATGTACTATCTTTGCTGTTATTTTTAAAGATCATTAGTATGTTATTTCCTTGGTGTAAATGTAAATTATGATTTGATTCTCTTTTATCAAAATGTAATTTTAGAAGTTTTACCACCATTTACTTTTTTAAGATTAATGATTTGTTGAGTCTCATTTCTAAGATGAGATAAGGTATCTTTCTCCTTTTGAAGATCTTCCTGCAAAGTCTGCCTCCATTCCTTCTCGATCTTCAAATCAGTTTCCAGTTGCACCCTTGAATGACAAACAATAAACAGAAGCTCAGTACTACTGTTTACATGAGAGTTGCATATAGTCTTTAAAAAGAGCATCTTTTTGGTTGCTAATTTTTGCCTTTATAATTCATTTCTTCAGATATTTTCTTGCGTGGGTATTTTTTGGTAAATTCAGCAGCACAGGCTTTTCTGATCCCAAAGTACCAGTTTATTTGCCAACCACAAAACTCCTTGCTAAACAATGATTTGTCATTTATTAATGCTGCATATATAAATGCTGTATAAGCATAGAAAATGCCTGGAAGGCCACACTCTACTATTACAATTGGTTGCAGCTGTAATAATACCAGTTGCATATAGTGTGAGAGAAATGTGGGGGTTTAATTATTTACATTTTTGTGCTATGTGGAAAATTTTAAAACAAACTAATGAAAAGTACTGTTCTGATATAAAAATTACAGCACCCACTGAATCAATTTAACATCAGTAACAGAAAAATCAGCTCTGGTGCAAAGAGCTACTTTTCAGATTACTGTTGGAAGCTGAGCTATTATTACAAGATAGATAAAGTCTAAGGAGACACTGAGGGGAATCCAAACTGCCTGGAAATACCAGTTCACATTTGCGAGCACTACACTTCAACATTCTAACAACAGATGCTAGCTGACAAAACAAAAGTAGTGAAATTCCTACATTTTAGGATGACAAAAAAAAAATCATTTCTATAATTATTGCTCATAAGTAGGTATAACAGGAAAGGTATACAATAATAATGCTGCAGTTTCTAATACTTTACATTTTAACTGCAAGATATAATACTGAGAATATTACATTATATTAACACTTTGTGTTAATATTTTTATTACTTTTGTTTCCTCATTAAAGTTAGCATTTCCATTTACAGCCACATTCTTTCTTAATGAAATAGATTTCAGGTTTTGTAATTTGAGTTGATGAGAATACCTCAAAATAGAATTTACAAATTGTTTATAAATACTATTTTACTACAATTTTAAAAGGAATACAAAGGGACAGGTATAATGTTACTAACACTGAAGTAACCACATTACAAAATGCCTTGGTTATCATCCAGAATGAGAAAGAAAACTACACACCCCCACCCAGCACTCCCAGGCATCTTCCCTCTCAGGTGTGTGGCTCCTAAACTGTAAGGGTCCCCACGAGACTTGCAACCAGGGGAGCAGTGGGCAGCAGCAGCTCATCCTAGGCTGACCCCCTGACCCTGTCTCCAAGGCCCCTTTTTCCCTGACTTTTTAGTGAGCCCCGCCTCAGCTCACTTCTGTCACTGTGACTTTTGCTTCTCAGTGCATCCACCCAGCTCTGCGTGGCTCACTTTCCTGTAACCTTTCTAGGGAGCCAAAACAGCCCTGCCTAGGCTCCTTCCTGTTGTTTCTTCTCTCCTAAGCTCTTCCTGTTTCACTGACCCCAGCTTTAATAAACATACACTCAAAAAATTTTTTTAAAAACTTAGTGCAAAAGCAAATAAAAAGGTGTGTTTTTGTTACTCTAAATACATTCTCAGAACATATATTGACCACCAAAATCAGAAAATCATTAAAAAAGGAGAGATATAACCATATAAAAGTTATAAATTTGTAATTTAAAAAACCACTATGGCCTTGGTCTGTGTGGCTTAGTTGGTTGGGCGTCAACCTGCAAACCAAAATATCGCAGGTTTAATTCCCAGCTGGGGCACATGCCTAGGTTGCGGGTTCAGTCTGGTTGGGGAGTGTACAAAAGGCAACAATTGATGTTTCTCTCTCACATTAATGTTTCTCTCCCTCTTTTTCCCTCCCTTCCCCTCTTTAAAATCAATTAAGAATGTCCTCCAGTGAGGATTTAAAAAATAATAATAAAATCCACTATGTACAATGTTTAAAAATTAACAATGAACTTCAGAAAACATTTTCACTATATGTGAAAAACCCAGAGTAAATACATAAAGAGCTCTTAGGGGGGAAAAAAGGTGAACACCATAAAGAGAAAAATAGATATAAACTGGCAATTCACAAAATGAAGAAACACAATCTGTGATTTGTAGTCAAAGATATGCTAACTCAAACAATAAAGCACAATATTCCAGGCAAAAGATTCATTTAGGTTAACTGTGATATGCTAGTGTAGACCTGTATTTATTGATATGATACAATGTCCATGATATAGTAAATACAATAAACAAGAGATTAAAGAGCATGTAGCATGATACTCTTTTTAAAAAACAGTACCTATATAACATCAATAAAATGTAAGATAAAAATAAGCATATTTATCACAATGTTGGAAAAAAAAAGTCCCAACAGCCCATTTCTATAGTAATGGTTCCAATTTTTTCTGAATAATCGGGGATCTTTCCTGATCTCCAAATTGTTACTGCATTCATGCTCTCCAAAATCACACCAACTGAGGGACAAAATTACTTCCATGGTTTCGAGCAGACAAACATCTTCAATCTGCAGCTTATACCTATGTTTTATTGAGGAGGTTAGTCCTACGGGAAAAGAGCTGTAGCGTGATTTAGGTCATCCTTTGGGCAGGGATCAAACAGTTGCGTCACTGCAGAAGAATGATCAGATTTGTCTTACCTACAGGTCTGTTAAGCTCCAGAAAAGAAATTCAGTAACACAGAGTGCCAGGGTTTCAAGATGATATTCTGCTGACTGACAAAATGTCCCCAGTCTGGCTTTTCTTGTTTTTCATTTGGCAAGGCATAGGGACTTCAACAACAAAACCCTGGCATCACTAATAAACTTGTTGACTTAAATGTCCCTTGTGATTTTTGTTGCCAAGAGAACCCTGAAAGTGCTGGCAGTCCTTTCATGAAAATCTTAAAATTAAGAGAAAATGCTTGCTGAGTATTTTTGTTTTGCGGGGTGGGTTTTAGTTTCACAATATACAAATGATACATGTTTTCAACCAATGTTATATTCCCTGCCTTATTAAAGGAACTTAGAATTCTGGTTCTGGACAAGACGTAGTAAACATATGTCCTCCACTAAGTACAGTTATAAACCCTAGACATTATATATAAACAAACATAAGATTCTGAAATGGGAAAAGAATGTGGCAGACCAGCAAAAAACCCCCAGGACTCAAGGGATAACATGGTGACAAGTTACCTGAGGTTTCTTTTTGCTTCCTATATAACTCAGGCTTCGTATTAAAGCTACCTGCAGCCCACAAACACCAGTGGGCACAAACAAAAAAAAGCCCCAAGAAAGGCCTGCTCTCCCATGCCAGAGAGCTGGGAAGAGGGAGCCTAGCTTGATTTAAAAAAAACAAACAAAACACCTTTTTGACAATAAATGCCCTATTCCAGCAAAACACCAGAAGAAAAAAACACAGGACCCTTGACCACTGTCAGCAAAGGACAAGCAGGGAACCTAAATTTCCATCCTCACCAGGCAATATGAGGTGTCCCTTTCAACTCCCACTGTGGTGGTATTAGAGAAGGCCAAAAGGAGAAGCAGAACTTTCACCAACACCCAGCAGTGATGAGGTGTCTCTCCTGCTCTACCCCTGTGGTACTGGTGGAGACCACATGAGGAGCCTGCACTTTCATTCCCATGAATCAGTAACAAAGTATTGCTTACCCTTCCCACAGTGTCAGCGAAAGCCCCGTGGGGAGCTTAAATTTCTACCCCTGTGCTGTGGCAACAGGTAACTCTCCCTATCCCCTCCAGGATGGTATCAGCAGAGACCAATGGAGTCTTCCCCTGGCCCCCTCTCTCCACAGTGTCAGCGGAGACTGAGTGGAAAGTATAAATTTCAACTCCTGCCTGTAGTTAGGTACCCCTCTCCCTCTCATCCAGAATGGTCCTGAGCTTCTACCCCCACTTAGTATAAAGGGTCAACGTCCACATTGCCCAGCAGGTGTGGTTTCAGTGGAGGACTGATAAAACAAGATTTAAATAAGATGCAGTCTCATAATTTCCTAAATGTTCAGAACGTAATAGAAAAACACTTGACATACTGTTAAGAGGGGAGGGAATTTCCCTACCCCACCCCACCCCCAAAATGGGGAAGTGGCGGAAGAGCACCAAAGTCCACACGTGTATCCATCACTCTGGGACAACCAGGACAAAGCACACATGACTCAACAGAAAAGCAGCGCTAAGGGCTGACATGGCAGCTAAAGAGGGAACTCAATGGAAGGGATACATATACTCCCACCTATTCCCACAGCACTGAGGGTTATGGGGGTGGCTTTTAAATATGGAGCACCAGAAACATGTGCTTCTGCTCTCCCCTCCTCTAGCTGGCTGCAGGTGCCCCGGGGCTCAGGCTCCTGAACAGGCAGGCCTTGGGGAAACTGTGTTGTCTCTGAGCATACCCAGCACCCCTCCCCCAGCACTCCAGGACCTCCCTGCTCAGGGGTGCTGCAGCAGCTGGGCTGGTAAGAGGGGAGGAGGCTGGAGGGGGTGCGGGGACGGGGGGGTGGTTGCGGGGGAATGAGGGTAGGCAGCAAGCCCTGCACCCCTCCTCCTTACAAGAAACCCTGGGAAGCCATCCGTGGTGGCCACCCACACCCGCCGCTCATGCGCTCCTAGGCTGGGGCTATCAGCTGCAGTCTCCCATCTGCCCACTCCTCTAACAGGGACCTCCATCAGCAGCAGCCACCTGCTCACCTCCAGAGTGGGCCTGTCAGCGGAAGGCCTTGTGCCCCTCCCCTGCGGGTCAGTGGCCTACTGCCTGGAAGCTGTGCCACGGCAGCCACCTGCCTGCCTGCCATCCTTGTGTTCCTCCAGTGGTGGCCCCAACAATGGCAGTTACTGCCACAGCTGCTGCTCTGCCCACTCCAGCCCAGGCAGGGCCTGGAACCCACTGCAAGTGGCATGGGGCTTAGCAGACCCCCACAGGACAGTGCCTGGGGTAGGATGCCTGGATGCACGGACTCCAAAGGATGCAAAGGATGCTACTTTGGGGGAGGAGAGGTTCCTGGCGCAACATTGACCTGAGTTGGCAGAGGGTGGCAGGGTGGTTTTCTCTGAGGCATTTTAAAAGAAACAGGCTTTGAGGCAGAAACCTGGCTTTATGTCAAGCTGTGTATACTTTAAATAAAGGATTCCCTTTTTCTTTCCCTAGGACTCTGTCTCCAGAGTTTCTGCCTATGGGTGGCGAGTGGTAGGACTGCACTGTCTGTTCTGGAACAGCATGAGGCTGTCTGGTAACAATGCCAAGATCCAGAAGAAAAATCTCAACTTTGATGAGAAAAAACGGACATGCCAACATGTTAGATAGTTCCTGTTTGATGAGAATTTTAAAACAGCTATTATAAAAATATTCCCATGATCAATTAAGAACATTCTTGAAACAAATGAAAAAGTACTAAGTTCTAGCAAAAAAAAAAAAAAAAGAGAGAGAGAGAGAGAAAAAGAAAGAAAAAGGTGAAGGAAGGAAGAAATACAGAGTCAAATATAAGTCTTAGAACTGGAACATACAATAATTTCACTGGGTAGGATCACTGGGAGAATGAAGATGATGAGAAAAGAATGAATAAACTTCAAAATAGAAAAACAGAAATTACCCAATCTGAACAGAGAAAAACAGACTGAAAAAAAATTTTTTTAAAAAGGTGTCAGGGAGCTGTAAAGCTATTTTTGAAAAGACCTAACATTCATGTTATCAGAGTCTCAGAGGAGAGGAGAAAGCAAGTGGAACTTACAAAATGTATGAATAATAGCCCAAAATTTTCCAAATTTAACAAAGATAAACCTAAAGATTCAAGAAACTACTCAAAGCCCAAAAAGGATAAATTCTAAGAACGAATCTTGAGAGTAGAAGACTAATTCTCACCAAAAACTATGAAGACCAAAAGAAAGTGGCATAAAACTTTTATGCTGAACAAAAAGAACTGTCAACTCAGAATTCTAAGGCTATCCCGAAAATATCCTTCAGAAATGAAGGTGAAATCAAGATGTTTCCAGAGGAAAAAAAATAAGTAAATAAAAACATGAGAATTTGTTGTCAACAGAGCTACCCTCAAAGAATGGCTGAAGAAAGTTTTTTGGATACAAATAAGGAAACTAGGAACATCAGAAATGAAGAAAGAATTATAAAGAGAAAAGTTTCTAGGTTATGTTTAAAAGTTGAAGAACTGTAACACTGTCTGATATACTTATGTAGAGGAAATACTTAAGCAAATTATATTATAAAGGAGAGAGGGTATAAAATGGGGGTAAGGCATCCACATTTTACTAAAGGTAATAAAATGTTGATACCAGTAGACTGTGAAAAGTTACAAATATATAACATAACGTGTACAGAAAACATTAAAAAATTACACAAAGAAACACACTCAATAACACTACAGGTAAACCAAAAAGGAATTCTAAATAATGTTAAGTAACCCATTGGAAGGCAGAAAAATGAAACAAAAATAAAACATAAAATAGCGGACTTAAACTCTAATATATCAACAATTACACTAAATATATTGAGCTAACTACATCTTTAAAAGAGAGACTAGCAGGATGGATAAAAACCAAACTATGAGAAACTTACTTCGACTATAATTATAAAGATTAGGCTGAAAGTAAAAAAATAGAAAAATGCAAACATTAATCTTTTGTTTACTACAGGAAAACATTAATCAAAAGAAAGCAAAAGTGGCTACACTAATTCTGATAAAGTTGACTTCAGAGCAAAGAAAGTTACCAAAGAGACACATTATACAATGATAAAAAGGTCAATTCACTAGGAAGATCCAACAATCCTAATTGCGCAGATACTAAACAACAGAACTTCAGAATATAAGAAAGAAAAAAATGATAGAACTGAAAGTAGAAATACCTAAGTCCACAATTACAGTTTGGAAATTACAAGTCCTCTCTCAAATAATTGATGGAACTACTAGACAGAAAATCAGTAAGGAAAGAGAACTTAGCAACACCTCAACCAACAGATCTAAAGACAGCTTAGCAAATTATACATCATATATGGCATGTGGTCTTGTTTAATGATCTGTTAAACATATAACTATTTTCTATTTTCTTTTAATAACAAAAGTGACACATTAATTACTAAGGAAAAACACTGATGTTTATAAAGTAAAAATTAAAGTACCCCTGTCAGCCTGCCATCACGCTCCTGAGATAATCATTCCCCAGAATCTCTATTCTTTAAACTCTTTTCTATGGCCAGTTTTAATTTTTTTTAAAGATTTTATTTCTGTATTTTAGAAGGGAAGGAAAGGAGAAAGAGAAGGAGAGAAACATCCATGTGCAAGAGATACATAGATTGGTTACCTCTCACACGTCCCCAACCAGGAACCTGGCCTGCAACTCAGGCATGTGCCCCAACCAGGAATCAAACTGGTAACGGGCTGGTTCACAGGCAGACACTCAATCCACTGAGCCTCATCAGCCAGGGCAGGGCCATTTCAATTTTATAAAAAATAGGATCATACTTAGCATAGCATACTGTCTGTAACTTGGTTTTTTTCCCAACTCAATGACACATGCTGTCATCCTTCCTAGTTGGCTACATACAGATCTATCATGTGAAGTACTCATAAAAATGCTCTCAGAAAACATCATGTCCTTTGATAATACATGTTCCTTAAAGTTACATAATGGCTATCAGATTAATGTTAAACAGCAGAAGAAAGCATAAAACTTTCCTTGAGCAAAAAGTCAGCAAGACAGTTGAAAATGTTCTATAAACAATAAAGGTAATAAAAACATATGTTTTAATCGTAAATAAATGATTTGAGGGGGGGACCGAAAAAAACTGAATTTATTTATAAAAATTGTGTATTCTTTCATGTTTAAACTTCAGTCAGTTTCCAAGTACTCTCCATTTGATGCAATACAGCTATCACGACCTTTTCCCACTGCCCAAAACAGTTTTTGAACTCATCGATTTTGATGCCAGTTAGTGCTTCTGCCATTATTTGTTTCACCTCTTTCACATCAGCAAAACATTTCCCTTTGAGGACTTTTCCCATCCAGGGAAACAAAACATGTTACTCAGGGAGAAATCAGGGGAATACCGAGGATGGGGCGTGGGGGTCATGCTGTTTTTTGGTCAAAAACTGCTGAACACTCAGCGTGGTGTGGGCAGGTGTGCTCCTAAATCACCCATCATGAAATGAGCAAACACACTGAAAGAATCTTCAAAAAAATTCACTGAAGCCAAACACAGCCTCTCACAACACCAGCTGGAGCACTGGCACAGATGAGTTCCTAGAACACTCACCGAGCAGGGGAGGTCTGTACTACAATGGGCCCACCCTCCAGAAGATAATTCCAGTTTTTAATTGGTGCCCCCCCTCATGTTTTCTAAGTTTTTATTTTTAAGGAGAACTCCACCATCTAGCTAACATCCTTAAATAAATTAAAATGTAGGTATTCTAACATATGCACAAAAGAAAGGGCGGTGGATGGACATTATGTTAGTACAAGTATTTTTTTTCCAAGAGTGAAATACTCACAGCTGTTTCTCCCTTTGAGAGATTTGTTTCTGCAGACTGTCGGATTTACTCTGCCATTCCTGTAGATATTTCTTGTCCTCATCTTCAGCTTCCATTTGCGCCTTCTCTGCTTGCTGCAATCTGGTGTAATTCAAATCAACTTTGGGTAAAACTGAGGCTAGAACTAGGGTGTAAAAGGGTGAAGAAGACAAATAAAAGAAAAATGGGGAAATAGAAACATTTCTAAATGAAAACAAAGTTTGGGGGAAAACTCACAAACTCAAACGTGAAAGAGCCACACAATGTCTAGAAATTGTTTTGTGATTTTTTTTTCAATATAACATTTAATATGCCCAGAATACTATCTTCAAATTTGTTTTATTTCTTGTTCATAATTAATAATGCAAAGCAATACAGCCTTTACCACTTTTATAGAGCATAATGAATCAAATTTCAAAGTATAATAGGTATGTTACTGCTGTTTTACAAAACCATGAAAAGCATAGTATTTATGTCTATACTAGGTGAAGAAGCCGCATTGTTATGTTAGGATGTGTATGCCAGGAATCAAGTGTGCTAACAAGGCCAAGAGCAAAGACCTGCAACTACTTTAAGTAACAGTCTAGTCCTTCCTATAGGATCATTATGCATTTACTAAATTATGCCAAAGCTGTATGTATGTGTGTGCATTTTAAAATTTAAAAGAATTTAGTATTAGTTGGCAACATTCTCTAGATTATTTTTGTTCTTTGAATTCTGTCACTGAATTTTTAAAATGTGCTAAATATGTAATTTTCACTTTTTCTATTCATATTTGTAAGTCATTGCTTCTCCCTGTGCTTACCTCCACTCCCTGCCTCCTACAGCCATCTAGGATTTATTAAATTTAACTTCAATATTTTTATAAGAAAACACCTCCCAAGTATTCAAGTGAAATTAATTCCTTGTAGGGAATCCTAAGATAAACTTATACTATGCTAACAAAAAAAAAAGGCCTCTCCTTTTCTTCCTTAAAACCATACCAGCAGGGCAACCCTCATATATTTCAGAAGTATGAATGCCACTTCCAAGGAAAAGAGAATAACATTCAAGTTGTCTCTCAATCTAAATTTAAATTTGAAATATTAAGGTGAGGGGAGCTTTTGTCTAATGTTATAGAAACTAAAAAAACAAAGAGTGAGGTAGGCCTTGAAGTTGTGCTATCATAGAAGATGGCTAAGGGGAACTGAACTTGAGGTGCTAAAGCACAAGATGATGGCCGATCTGGGTTATAAAGTATTTTAAACATTGGACCAATGGAGTAAAAGAAAAATCTGTGCCAACACATTGTGAAGCCAAAGGTTAACTTATTTTTAAACAATTTACATATTTTCCATCAAAAAGTAGCTAAAAAGATAAAACTGCATTTGAAAATCCTGACCTCTGAAGGTCAATACTCAAAATCAGCCCTGGTGCACAAGGTTTGAGAGATGTGTGTTAGGAAATCCAAGTGCACCCACTCTGCTTTACGGCAGTGTACGACCATAGCAGCTGATCAAGAAATGTACAGGGTCCCTACTACCCTTTTAGAAGACTTAATAGCATAAATTCTTTTCTATGTAATATATTATAAAATTGTTGAATGTCTTTCAGTCTACTTAAATACAAGTGGTTTTTAGAAAGATATATCTTTGACCAGCTTGTACTGGTCCTGAGTGTCACTGCTGGCACATTTCACCAATGACATTGCAATTGTCCTAGTTTGAGTTAACAAATCATTGTCACTTCATAATGGAATGGACAGAAATCAAAGACAGAAAAAGGTAATAAAGATGTCCAAAATGTAAAAATGGGGATAAAGAAAACAAAAAAGAAAAAAGAAGAAAGAGGATGTCAATAAAAGAATATTCATGTCAATAAAGCATTAATAGTTATGTTTTTCATAAGTAGATTCAAAGAAAGCAATGGTAAGACATATGTTGACACCAACATGACAGATCAATGGAAATACATTACATTTTCCAACAATAAAAGTGAAAAATGCCAATATAAAACAATTTAATTTAAATAAAATCATTTCTTGGGTTGGGTTAAGGGTCCTATCTCAAAGAAACAGAACTAAACTGTCAACTCAGAAAGCCTGATTTCAGATAAAGAGATGGTGAATGACAAAGGATATGACAATCAATATGCATGGAAATCAATCAGGGGTAATTCCACCACGGATTTTGTTCGTTTTACACTTTTTCAGCGTTTCTGTTTGTGTATTTGTTTTATGTAATGTAACAGATTGAACCACATGAAATTGCTGATATTAGGCCTTTTTAAAAAAAGTCTATAAAATGGCAAGTTCAAAGGAATCAGCCTAATACAAAGCAACTTGATTCCATGCAACAACCAAAACAACAAAGGCAAAATTCTGCTGGGCTTAAAAAAAAATCATGTCCTAATCTAAATTTCCCTAATGGTTTTTGCGGCAGGTGTTAGAGCTGAATAAAGAAAAGGGGGAGAAAGAAAGGAAAAAGAGAAACTGAGACTAGAAATGCTGTACCTTTGTTCCAGCTGCCTCATGGCTACAGTAATTTTATTGGTTTTCTCTTCTAGTCGAGCAATTATTTCATTCTTTTCTTTCAAACTATCTTCGGAACCCTATTTAGAAAAACATAAAAGCTACAGTGGTTTTGATTTTTATACTTGAATATTTATAACTTTTGTATACCATTTTGCTGTGGGACTGTCACTTTGAAATGAGCAGTTACAGATTAAAATACTCTCATGATATAAAGCAGTAGTACTTTATTTAAAACACTCAGACTTCAATGTTTTTGGAAGACAACAGGACTTAAGCTCTTGTAAAACACGCTATTTTTCAAATTAAATTGTAAAGGGATTTTGGCAACAAGTCTACTGAACAAAAGTGTCACTTTATGAGAGAATTCATAATCATTATAGTACACCATTTCAATCAAAATTAAATCTTTCTCAGGGCTATACTGTATAAGATGTTCACAAAAATGTCTTTCATATTTAGATTTAGTTTTCCCAAAAGATTTAATTTTCTTACTGTTAACCTTCAGTATTAAAAAACAAATTCAGATAGGTGATTTTGTTCTTCGATGCTTTTTCATGGCTACATATCTGAAGCTTCTATTTGGCGGCGGGGGAGGAAACACACTGCTTTTTATAATGAATATGGCACAGTTAAAATAGGTTCATCTCTTAAAAATCAAACCCTTTATACAAATACTCATTTTCAATTTATATAACAAGAAATGCCAAGAATTTAAGAACATTCCTTACCTGCAACTTTTGATACATCTCTATGTTAATTGCTTTAACTTCCTCTAATTGTTGTCTAAGGCCTATCAGAGTATCTTGTTTCTCATGAATATCTTTCTCCAACAACTTCATGGCAAGTTCAATTTCATGCTTCATACTAACTTGTACAGCTAGCTCATTCTCGACATCCTGTAATTGCAACAAATCCTCAATTCACATGCCACTTCAGGATGTCAAAATCACATATACAATAGTTAATGAGACCAAGGAAGAGTTTCTACTTAATATGTAGACTACTCCTCTTGAGTTATAAGCCCCACTAAAGGGAATCAATCAGGCCCCAAAAACAACATTCTAAATGTTTTCAAATGCATATTTTGCTAAAATGAAAGCATTTCCTAGACTGTCAATTATCATTATTTCACTGGCTCAAGGATGAAGTATTTTTATGCCTCATAAACTCAGTATTGATTTTCCTTAAGCAAAAAAAAAAGCAATCCATATAAGTGAATGCCAAAGATAACTCAAAAATCCTATTTCACAACTTTAATTTCTTCTCTTAAAGAATTTTACATCAGAAGGAAAAGATGTTTCCTAATATTAAGACAAATAGCAAAAGTAATGAAAAGGCTCACAATACTCTTTTCTGCACTTGGTAGTAGTTATACAGGTATTTACATTATAATTTATTAAGCCATACATTTGTATTTTTCTATAGGCATTATATTGCATAATTTAAAAGGATAAAAAAGTTAATTTCAAATATGATTTTACTAATATTTCAATGTCATTCTATTTCCTTTTTTGTAATGTTGGTCATGATCTATTCATTTCCAAAACACAGATTATAAGTTTAAAAATGCCATTTAAAAAAAAACAATTAACTATTGTGTTTATTATTAGCTAATGTCACTTTAATGCAATCTACCTGTCTTAACTGAGATTCATCTCGAAGCTGCCTTCTGGCTTCATTGTACATTTCATCGAGCCCCTGCCGAGAATGCTTATATGTTTGAAGCTCAGTTTCCACATCCACTTTGGTAACCTAGGAAGAAAACTTAATTCTATCATCACTAATAATAATGCAACACAGAAATACCCAATGTATACAAAAGTCCCAAAAAGTTAACAATTTCTGACACAAGAATCTGTTTGCAATCAGTCTATACTTACTTACCTCTAGGTGCTGCTGTGTTTTCATTAAAATCAATTTATTCTCACTTCGTAATTGATGATTTTCTTCTTGGAGTTTAATGATATTATTCTTTGCTATTGCTAACTAAAAATTGTGAAACACGGGCAACAAAGAATATTAAACATCTTCATACTTGCTTTACAGGTTATGTACATGGCTATAAATAACAAAATAAAATCCTAAAACTAGTAAAAATGACTCACAATTACAGAAACTTTTGTAAGAAATATGTGCTCCTATTACCCCAAAATACCAACTAAAGAAATTTACTAATTTCTACTATTTCCTTTTGTTAGTCGATAAATATTATGTTAATCAAAACATATTATGTTTATCTGGTTTATAATATGCCATGACTACAAAGTGCCTTAGTAAGCATACAAAGAATTATGTGGTAAATAATAAAACTACAAAGACTTGTGTAAAAACAGAAATACATATAAGGAAAAAAGGTTTTTTTTGTCATTGAAAATGACTTTCATGATAACAAATAGGACACCCTGTGAAATAAGGCACACTGACTAACCAATGCAAATGAGATAGCTCTCATCATCAGAGTCAAACATGAATGACTAAGTGGCTTGACTCTGAGGCCCAGAACAAAAAGAAGGATCCTTAGGAAAGGGAAGCAGGGACCACTCCCCAAAGCTGGCTTGCAAGTAAATTCCTGAAATTTCTGAATAATTTGTCAAGGATACAAATGAACTTCACAGTGTGCCTAAGGCCAAGAAGAGGCACAAACCATAGAGCAGCTCTTTCTTATGGTCCCAAACTATCAAAATGAAGATGCATTCTTAACTGCAGTTATACAATCATGTGTTCCCTGGTTTGAAAAAGTTGGGGAAGTTTTAAAAGAAATAAAAATTTTAATTAACATGGAAAATAGGGTTCACAGCACTAATAAAATAACGTATTTCTTCCTCTACCCTAAATAATTCTGAAAATAGAAAGCAATACTTCTATGGTTTGATAGTTCTTTTTAAAATTTATATTAAAAAATAGTATCAAAAAGAGAGCTAAGACAAATTTCTGGCTCTGGGACTACCAGATAGCCACTGTGACAATGCAGGAAACCGGAGCACATGGGAAAAATTTTACACATGGGAGGGTGGAAATAGGGTGGATATGATCATGCTTGAAAAGAAAAGCAATCTGAACAGTGGTACAAGAAGGAGAGTATCATTTCAGCAGGAAATTCTAACTATAGGTGATTCCACTATCTAAAATCAGGCTATCCAGATTTAAAAATGAGAAGCACAGCTTACTTACAGAAGAGTGTGTATGAGTTTCATCTTTGAGGCTCATTTCTAGAAGCTGAGTATCTCAAAACATTTAAGAGTCACCTGAGATATGTGGTTTCTCTCATTTTTTTTGGCAAAGGCAAATTTATTTTTTTATTTTTTTCAATTACAGTTTGCATTTAACATTGTTATGTATCAGTTTCAGGTGTACAGCATAGTGGTCAGACAATCATATATTTCCAGCACCCAACTAGTATCATACATAGTTATTACAATATTATTGACTATATTTCCTATGCTGTACTTTACATCCCCATGACTTATTATTCCCCCAAACCTCCTCCCTAAAGGGACTTTTTAAAGAGATGTGAGCAGGGTGTAGGGAAACCACCAAGGACAGTGTAATACTCTGGGCTAGAAAAAGTAGGAAGTCATAGGAAGAAGTTAGGCAGTCATTAGAACACCAAGAGAGAGACAGATCCTAGGAGGAATTGTGCCCTTTGGTGAAAGCCCAACAACCCTTTGTAAATACCTTGACCTTACTTTCCAGGCTCCTTCTGAAAGATCTGTGATTAGCCACCTTCTGTTGAGATGGTGGTGCATACAAAACCACCCCAAACTTTAGTGGCTACATTCAAACTTTTCAATTACAACAATGTTGCATATTTTCTTCCATCTTCAATATTAAAATGGCTACACAAAAATTCACCAATTCTGCCCTGGCTGGTGTGGCTCAGTGGATTGAGCACCAGCCTGTGAACCAAGGGTTACCAGTTCGATTCCCAGTCAGGGCACATGACTGGTTGGCAGGCCAAGTCCCCAGTTGGGGGCATGAAAGAGGCAACCACACACTGATGTTTCTCTCCCACTCCTTCTCCCTCCCTTCCCCTCTAAAAGTAAATAAATAATTTTTAAAAATACTAAAAAATTCACCAATTCTCGTAAGTTTTCTTTAAAAATGCATCCTGATAAGACAGCTGTCTAAATGCAATCTAACAAAATTGTTTCAAATGAAGTTAAAGACAATTAAGTGCTACCACAGCCATCTTATGGAAAAATACAAACTTTTTGGCCAAACCAATATATTATAGTAAGTGTTTCATCATAATGATGAAAATGTGTGTGTGTGCTTAATACACTCACACTGAACATGAAAAAGGATCACAAATACTAGGTCCATGAAAGACAATTATCAATGGCTGAACGACAATACCTCTTCAATCAGCTTAGTATTTGACTTTTCTAATGAGTCGACTCTTGAATGGAGACTGCTGACTGTGCTGCTGAAATTTATAAAGAAAAAACTCATTCAAAATCACACAAACTCACAAAGGCAAGAAAAAGTATGTTATCCTGGACTCTACATTAACTGACATGCACCAACTGCCATTTGAATTTTGAGTGTGGGAGTTTCATTAAGTTGGATAACTTGATTTAGCTAGAAAACAATAAAGACTGTGTAGCAAGAGAACCAATATTTCTATTAAAATTTCATTTGATGCTGCTCATTATTTTTTGTATTCATATGGTCCCTTTTACATGTAACTTATAATATTTAGGAATAAAAATTTCACACAAAGATTACTAAATATTGTTAAAACTAAATTTAAAATCATTTTTAAAGGATGAACTTTAAATGGCCATTCTGTAATTCAGTGGCTCAATGAAGCTTATAAGCAATGTTCATGAACACAAGTCCCACTGTTTCCCCCTCCATTTTCATAATAACTTAAAGACCTCCTAAGTTACCCATTGTTGAGAAATGTGAATATGTGGCACCTAGTACCAGGAACATACATGGCCTGAAACTAAGCAAAAAAATCTCGGCTTTCAAGGATATAGTCAAAAGTCAGGTTATACGACATAAACACACTTGTCTTTTGCATTTTTGTTTAAATCAGTTATGACTGGACATTATTGTACATTTTACTGAGTCTGATTTTCAAGGCCTGCTTGATTTTGCCATCTCAAACTTTCTCTAATAAAATGTACTATGCTGTAACATTACAGTAAAGATGTATTAACAGATTTAACAAATTTTATTCCAGCCCTAGAAACAACTATTGGCACTTTAGTTAAGCTGTGAAACAAGAAAAATGTCTTTTCATCAATGTTAAATCATTTTTTAAATATAACCATTCTGAGGTAAACAACTTGAGTTCTTCACAAACAGCACCATCCTGATGATGAGCTACAGCAAGCACAGGACCAGGAGATGAAAGACCAAGATTAAGGTCCCTGCTTTCATACTTTCTAATTTTGTCACTTTGTAAAAACCTTTCTGAGCTTCAGTTTCCTTACCTATAAAATCAGACAATAATATTTGCCCTACTTTTATGTGAGAATGAAAAAATAACTAAAAAAATAACTTTTAAAAACAGTGAATCCTCAGTAGTGGTTTTCTTCAGAAGACAGGTGAATTCTTTTTTTTTATCTGCTTTCTATACTTTCAAAATATTTTAAATGTTCATGAACTATTTTCTAAGTAGAAAAACCAATGAAATGTTTTTAATACATAAAATTTACAAACGGCACTAGTATTGCAGTAACTGATTAAAACACACATAACTTAAAAGAAACTGAGAAAGCTCACTTGAACCAAATGGAATAGTCTTTAAGATAAACTGTTGAGTAAAAACAGTACAGAGTAGTATAAAAAAGTATGCTACCTTATGTGTAAAGAACTGGAGGAAGATGAGAAATATAAGAAAATACATGCATATTCTTATTGATCTGCATAAAGTATCTGTGGAGGCATTCAACAGAACCTAAAATAGTAATTATTCCCTAAGAGAGAAACTAGACGGTTAAAGATCAGGGAAGAGGGAGACCTTTCATTTAATGTTCCTTTTGAAGTTCGAACCATGGGAATATATTACCTGTTCCCAAAAAGTGAATAAAAGTTTAAGAGTAAATAAATAAGCAACACAAGGTTGAACTTAGAAATGCAGTCACAGAGCCCTGGACGGGTAGTTCAGCTGGTTAGAGTGTCATCCAGATACACTAAGGTTGTGAGTTTGATCGCCGGTCAGGGCACACACAGGAAGCAACCAATGAATGCACAAATAAATGGAACAACAAACTGACGTTTCTCTCAAATTAAATAAAAAAATAATTAAAATAAAAAAATAAATACAATCTCAGAAATACAAATTACAAAATACAAATACATACAACACATACATTTCCTATGATATTTATTATTAAAGCTCCATGATCTTTCCTATTTCCAACTTTAGAGGGAAAGCAAGAGTTACAGCTTATTAGCTTTTCTGCAATGGGAAAATGTTTAATTGTATCTTATGATTGTAATACATGTTTATTGAGTAAAATACAGAAAATACATAAAACTATAAAAAATAAAATAAAAAGTATTCATAATCATATCATCCAGAGTTAGCCAGTTTTGCTATTTCTTCCATTAATTAATCAGAACAGTCCATTTTAACTATGTAGCAAATATTCACTGTACCTATATTATACAGTATGGTAGCCACAAGGCATTTGTGGCTACTAATAAGCACTTACAATGTGACTAATCCAAGTTGAAATGTGCTGTAAAATACACATTGAATTTTGAAGATAGTACCACAAAAATTAATATAAAATATCTTAATAATTTTATAGTGATTACATGTTGAAATAATATTTGGTATAAATAAAAAATATTTTTAATTAACTTCATCTGGTGTTTTTTACCTTTTTAATAAGGTTTACTAGAAATTTTAAATTACATATGTGACTCACATTATACTTTTATTAGACAGAGCTGCACTGTAATATTTTACAAACAGATTTTGGGGATTCTCCCCAGATAGAGTATTCACTGAAGTTTCAATGACCAGGTGATATTTTAAGGAGAAAATTTCCACCATGGAATATGAAAGCCACATTTATACATGAAGCCCTTTGAAGTAGAAAAAAATGAATTTCTGAACCATCAAATGACATAAACTTCCACCCTATCTACCCTTTTTTCTTAAGGGCTAAGTTAAGGGATAAGTTTGAAATTCTATTTTTAAATTCTCTGAGGATTCTATTTAAATATCTGACTCTCATTTTCTACCGAAAATGAATTCTCTCCAGTAACTTTCTGTATCCTTAATTTCCATATTCTCTATCCACTATAACCCCTTCTGAAAGACGCACAGAAGGAATGGGGTTAAGCTGGCCTGATGAGGGGGCACTCTAAGACTACAGTCATAAATATACTAAGTATGCCAAGTATCCGTTATACTTACTTCAGTTGTCTATTTAATTCTTCAACATAATTCTTCTGGTCTAATATGGCAGCAATTTGAACATTCCTAAAGGGGGGAAAAGTAGTTGTGTGCTAATTAGAAAGGTATTTAGTGGGTGCCAAAAATAATGTCTAAATCATCTAAAATTGCTGTAAAAAAATGTCTAAATCATTTAAAATTTTTGTAAAACCATAATGGCGAAACATTATCTTGCCTTTAAAATAAAATTCAAGAAATTTTATAATTGGGTAGCAGTAAGCTGTGTACTAAATGACTCTAATATTTATAAATAATTCGCTAATACTAGACTTAATGTGCCATTAGTATATTTAAAAACTTTTGCATCAGTATGATTTATTTTTTATTTAAACATATTAACATATAACATTGTGTAAATTTAAGGCATACAACCTGTTAGTTCAATACATTTATATTGTGACATGACTGCCATTGTAGCAAGAATTAGCACCTCTATCACATTACATAATTATCCTTTCTCGTAGTTGGAATAAGTATAATTTAAATTTAAACATAACTAGATCTTGAAATAAACTAACATATGTAAGCTTGTGAATAACAACTTTCATCCCTTTTATCACAAAACACAGCATACTATTAAAATGGGTCTCAGGCCCTGATGGGGTGGCTCAGTTGGTTGGAGCATCATCCCATGCACCAGAAGGTTGCAGATTCGATTCCCGATCACAGCACATGCCTATGTTATGGGTTCAATCCCTAGTCAAGGCGCGTGCAGGACACAACCAATCAATGTTTCTCTCCCCCATCCTCTCTCTAAGATCAATGAAAATGTATTCTTGAGTAAGAATGAAAAAAAAATTATAAAATGGGTTACAGGAACTACAGGTATAACCAGTAACCCAAAGTCATATATCAGACTAAAGCCTCCTTCCAAGTGGTTTTTGCTTTTTAAAGCTTGTAAATGGAAGTGAAAACTAAATAAAGCAGGAACTACACACAAATAAATGAAATAAAAAAACACATTGTAAATAGATGAACCTCATACTGATTTGTGAAGAGCTACATAAAAAATACATGTGAAATAACTTAGGAATATCATACCTTTCTTTATTTCCAATATCATCTTCATTCTTTAAATACATGGAAAAATCAATCACTCCAACCTGAATTTATAAATAAAGTTATTTCTATTTAAAGGGGAGAAATACCTAAAGTACATTTAATATGCAACTGAATTTCATTCTTAATTTTTCTTTACTGTTTAACAGCACTGTTTACAACTTAAAGTAATAGTAATACCTGGACCAAAGAGACACATTGCAAACTGAAAACACTCTGCATTTGGTACTAGTCATTTTCACTTACTTGTGAGTCTAAATCCTCTCCCTTTACACACAGGTTAGCATCTATCACATTCAGGCCAACCAGTAGCCCCACAATTACCGCTCCTTCTTCTTCCATCATTAGTGCATGATACTCATAGAATTCACTGTGAAAATTAAAACAATAAAAATATTAATTCACAATTTATTTCAAAAACTAAATTTTATAATCTCAGCACCTTATTACAAACATGAAACCAGTATTAGGTATCTTCAAATTAGCCTTTCCATATGTGAGCAATTTAAAAATTTTGAAACTTAAATTTTATACAGAAAATGTAAAACATAAAAGAAAAAGACTACAGGAGATAAAATTTAAAAAGAAATTTTGAAGGCTAGAGAAGAGAAGCAAGGATCAAAATAAAAAGACATCACTGAGGCCTGGAATGTTTGTGACTCTCAGAAGCTAACCTGATCACAACACTTTAACAATTCGAGTTGAATTTTTCAATTCTAGGATTTAGTAACACCCTTGGGATAAAGACTAAGGTGAGGAAATGAACATATGAAATATTTTAAAGCCCATGTTCAAGTCAGTGCATTTGATATGTGTATTGCAAGTATTCCTAATAGAGAACCAATAAAAGATACGTATGGAGGATTTTTTTTTTCAGGGAGAATCAGGATGGCAGAGGAGTGAGTGGAAGTCACACTGACCTCCTCCCAGGACCAACCTGGAATTACAACTAAATTGTGCAGAAATCACCTGGAACAAACAACTGAACAAGAGCGAGAGAGGAGCCTTGTGACCTCGGAGACAGATGAATCTGCTTTAGCACAATGTAACTGGTAAGGAGTGCGGTACAGACCTGAGAAGGCGGGCAGGGCGCCCACAGGCTGCAGCACCAGAAGGATATTGAAACAGCCACTTGGATTCCCCTGAGAAGAACCGGGTCTAAACCAAAAGCGGGGATCTCTAGCCCACAACACCAGAGCCCCAAAAGTACACAAAAAACAGCCAGCTGCAAAAAGTGGCAGGGTTGCTCTCTACCAGAGACAGGTGGCTGAAGACGCAAAGAACTGTTTAAAGGGTCAATGCATAAATTTTCATTGCAGCCACTTCCCGTGGTCTCTGGCAAAGGTGGCAGCAGAGTGGGCTGGGGACACCTGAGAGGAGACTGGGGAAGGAGGCTTTGGGGAGAGAACTGAGAGAGTGGCCGGTGCGATCTCAGTGTTGACTCTTTCCCCCATGTGTCAGCAGCAGCCATCTTACTCAGGCAGAGACCACACCCCCTGAGCGGCATCAGCGTCAAAGGACCCAATAGCCCCACTCCGAGCCCACTCGGAGGTGAAATTCCACCCCGCCCTGTGCTGTCTAAGCCGCCTGTTGAGTGCAGAGTGGCTGCCACAGACAGTAGATCCCTGGCTAAAAGGGGTACAGAGAGGGCTAGTGACACTTGAGGAGAGACTGGGGACGGAGGCTTTGGAGAAAGAACGGAGAGAGTAGCTGACAGGATCCCAGTGCAGACTCCTCCCCCATAGGGCAGCAGCAAGAGTGGACCCAATAACCCCGCCCCCAGGAGGGACTCGCCCCTGCCCTGAGCTGTCTAAACTGCCTGCTGAGTGCAGAGTGAATAGATTAACAGCTCAAGGAGACAGCCACAGACAGTAGATTCCTGGAAGTCTCGAACAGACTGCCTGAGGTCAGACAGGGACGACATCTGACATCATCAGAGGCAGATCCAGAAAGTAAAAACAGTGGTCTCCAACCATAGAAGTTCACACCACAAAGTCAGGAAATCAAGACAGATCAACTTAAGAAACAGAAGCAAAAAAGAGGAGTCTCTATCAAATAATGGGAAGACAAAGAAATACGCCCCATTCGAAGGGAAAGGAGGAATCCCCACAAAAAGAACGAAATGAAATAGAGGCAAGTAAACTGTCAGATATTGAGTTCAAAACAATGGTTCTAAGGAAGCTCAGTGAACTCAGTGAGCTCAGAGAGAATTACCAAAAACTACCGGGAAACTATGAGGAACTTACTGCAAACTATATCGGCATGAAAAAGGACATAGAAACTATCAATAAGACACAAGAGGACATGAAGAATACAATTTCTGAATTGAAGAACACAGTAGAAGGAATCAAAAGCAGGCTAGACGAAGCTGAGGACTGAATCAGCGAGCTGGAGGAGAAGGTAGAAAAAAACTCCCAGAAAGAGCAAGAAAATGAAAAAAGACTCAAAAAGAATGAAGAGGCATTGAGAGAAATGCAGGACAACCTGAAATGTAATAATATCCGTATAATAGGGATACCAGAAGGAGAGGAGGATGAGGAAGGGATAGAGGACCTGTTTGGAAGGTAATGATGGAAAACTTCCCTAATTGGAGGATAGAAAAAGTCACACAAGTCCAGGAAGCACAGAGGGTCCCCTTATAGAGGAACCCAATGAGGCCCACTCCAAGACACATCATCATTAAAATGGCTACTATCAAAAGACAAACAGAGAATCCTAAAGCAAGCAAGAGAGAAAGAGGTAGTAACGTATAAGGGAGCCCCAATACGGCTAAGCAGCTGACTTCTCAACAGAAACCCTGCAAGCCAGAAGGGAATGGCAAGAAATATTCCCAGTCATGAAAAGCAAAGGCCTGCAACCAAGACTGCTCTATCCAGCAAAGCTCTCAATTAAAACGGAAGGCAAAACAAGGAATTTCCCAGACAAAAGAAAACTAAAAGAATACACCTCCACCAAACCAGCACTGCAAAATATGCTAAAGGGACTGCTTTAAGATGAAGAAAAAGTTTCTAGGAATACCCAGTTCCTTTTAGAGTTGCCAATACTTGATATTACCAATATTTTTAATGCTCACTAATCTGACTGTGACAATGATGTTATTTTAATTGTTCCTTTACTATCTGCTGAAACTAAACCTGTTTTAGTATATTTCCTGCCTATTTCTTTTTTTTTTTTTTTAAAAGCTTTAAATGACTTTTGGGTATTCTTTATCCATTTATTGATTAAAGATTTGTAGAACTTTTTTCCCTAAAAAGAAAAACCTATTAGCCATGTTTTAGATGTGTTGCAAATACTTTTCTATTCTATTCCTTGTCCTTTAACTTTTTCTATATGTATATTACTATATAGTTAAATGTTTAATATTGTCATATTGTCAATATTTACTTTATAGCTTCTGAATAGTTTACTTCAGGTCAAGAAAAATATTAGTTATATTTTCGTCTAAAACTCCTTAGATTCTACATACTGATTTTTAACTCACCTGAATATTTCTTGTATAATGTGTGAAATAGGGCTCTATATTTGTTTTATGTCAAGTAATAATGGTCCATGCACCTTATTTGTTGAATAAGCCTTATTTTACCCATTATTTGAAATATCAACTTAATCATACATATATTAATCAGATATATACGTTTGTCTCTAGAATGTTCATTATATTTCATTGATCTACTTGATTATGTCTGTGCTGGTGTCATGTTGGTTTAATTGCTGAGACTTTATAATGGTTTAAAATTTTTTTTTAATATTTTATAATTAACTTTGACATTTAAAAAAATAAATAAAATCAATCTGCATTTAAGAAAAATGAAAGGAAGGAAGGAAGGAAGGAAGGAAGAAAAAGAACAAAAGAAAAGGAAGAAAGAAAGAGAGAGATGGGACTCTTACTTTTTGAGACAACATGGATGGAATTGGAGAATATTAAGCTAAGTGAAATAAGCCAGTTGATAAAAGACAATTACCATATGATCTCACCTATAAATGGACTCTATTCAACAAAATAAACTAATGAACAAAATAAACCACAGGCATGGAAACATGGAGCAGAGTGAAAGTGACCAGAGGGGATGGGGAAAGAGGACAATGGTGGAAAGAAGGGGAAGGGACTAGGCAAAGAACATGTATGAATGACCTATGGGCATGGACAACAGAGCGGGAATTGACTGTGGGAGCGGGGGGTGGGGGTGGGACGGGTGGAGGGGGGTAAAGGGGTAAAAATTGAGACAACTGTAATAGAATCAACATGATTTATAAATTTTTAAAAAATAAAAGCAAAAAAAAACAATTCAGTAACCCCCCTCCCCAAAAAAAAGATACTATGGATATCTATATTCTAAAAAAATGTTCAAATAAGAGACTTGTGAAAGAAATTGGACAGTTTAAAAACTAATACTTGACAATTTATATTAAAAGAACTAGTTATCACTGTCACATACCTTCCTCAATAAGCCCCATGTATAGTATTTAATCACTTAAATTAACCTTCAGAATATTATCGAGAAGTTCAGGTGCTTAAAGTATGGTCATTCTCATTTAAAAATGGGAAAAACCAAGATGTACAACTAGAGTCACAAGTAAAGCCTAAAACGACCAAGTTCTCCAGAACATTAGACATGCACTCTAAAAGAACAAGAGTGGACTGAGGGGCTACCATGGGCCCACTTCCTTGAAGAACTGATTACCTTGCTTTGACAGTGTGTCTTCAATTTATATTGATGGTTTTAAAAAGGTCCCCAATAAAATTGAAACAGTAATTTGGACATTCAAGATCTAAAAAGAACCTCTTGAGTTAAAGCTCCAAATTCCAATATAAATTTTTATTTACAGAATTAACTGTAACTTAGAAAAAAATATACACTAGGCTTTAAAAAATGAAACTAACTTTGAAATATAAATTTAAAATTAGTTTCTCTCTTCTCAGCTGATAAAAAGCTTGCAATGTCCATTTTTTAGGCTATTTCCTAATCAATGTCTGTCCCTCACCATGATTTTCTCACTCATTTTGCTCCTCCCTTTATTTCATGCCATCTTATTGTATTTTATGATTTTTTTTACTACATCTTCAATCTTTTTTGGAAGACAGGATATAAATGAAATAAAAAATGAATTATGATTTAACGGTACTAACCTCAAGAGATCCCTTTGAATAATTAAGCAACGAAGGTAATCAGCCATTTTTTTTTGCATGAGGGCTAATCGAAGCCATGCTCTTGCACGACCAAGGGGGGTCCTAAAAAGTAAAACCAACTGGTGAGAAAACAGCCCCAGCCCAAAGATAATGTATTACATGTTCTATCTCTGTTGAGGTACACATCAATAAAGAAAAAAAGCAATTTATCATGGTTTTGTCTTCATTTCTATAATTTTAAGACAGCTCTTTGAGCATGCAAACCCATCCCTGTGAGCTACTTAAGTCCTAAAGTAAATCTGCACCTGTAGGACGTCTAGGTACCATTTTATGCCTTGGAAAAAATGACTCTGTAAAAAGTGAGAATATTTCTACAACAAACATTTAGTCTGAATGGGCTTAGCCTTCTAAAAATATATATGCAAAATGCATCAATAGGGCAGTACAATGCCTTCAAAAAATAACTGACATTATATCCAATTGTAAAAAAATCGTAACAAAGCTAAGAAATTACCAAGCTGGTAATCAGAGAGAAATCACCAGGCTGCTTGATCTTTTTCAAATGTTTCTTTGATCCAATTATCCTTAAATATTAAATCTCATACCTTTCTCTAATTTAGTAAAAATAAAGCAAGTTTTACAGAATATGTATGATATTTTAAAGAGAAAGATACATTTACATTTTTATGTTTTCTTATTCAGAGAACATTTACTCAGGTAGTACCGGAGGAAACTTAATCTTCACTTCTAACAGCTTGAGTTTCTTATGGCTTAGCATTTTAATGACTACTATTTAGGAAACATTTTTTACTTTTGTAGAATTTGGCTTTTTAAAAACAATACAAACGTGTTTTCATATTAAAATGAAACCAAATTTTATAAATGAGATAATCCATGTAAAATAATGATCTTATTACCCTGATATAGTGCTTAATAAATAGTAGCTTACTTTTATCACTCAGTTAAGTACAACCTGCAAATATGTAGATGTTGTGATAGCCAGAAAACACTACTATATTCCCTATAACATACAATCCCGAAATAGCAAACTGATGATCTTACAGAAAATACTAAGCATAAAAACAATTATCTCATTCACAAGAATTAAGGTAAACTAAAGGGAGCTCTTATATCTTAATCATATCCTGAAGATTTTAAGACCTTAGCCTTAACAACACTTTTTACCTGCAAAAATTTTCAACACTCGTGAGATCTTAGCTAGACTCTTCAGCTTTTAGGACATTTCATATACATTTGCCTAGTGAAACAGGCAGGTGACACTACAGTCCCAATTTTCAAAGGTAGAAAGTAATTTGCACATGTTCTACATGATATGGATGGCTTATCTGAAAACTCAAATCTCCTGAGCCTTTGCCTGAATTTAGCCTAGATCAGTTTCCAATTGTTGCTGACTGCCTACTATTGCAAAATAGCTTAACACTCAGGAAACAGAGATGCATAATTGATACATCCTACAGTAAAAGAACGTGCAATTTCCTGCAATACAATGCAGAGTTGAAATAAGTGATATAATAAAGGAATGACAATAGTGAGAAGAGTATAAAAGAAAAAGCAGTTAGTTATTACTGAAGGGACTAAAAAAAGCCATCAAATTTGAGCTTAACCATGAAGGATGAACAGAATTTCATTAGGAGACAACAGAAGGCAGCTACTTAAGGCTGACGGAAGACACACTAGAATGTGAAGTACTTTTTAGAAAGAGTAATATCCTTCTGTGGTTACAGATGAACAAGTAATAAGACGACTTACTTAAGACCAGGTAAATCCCGGACACTAGCCCCTATTTCCTCTGCTTCTGGGTAGAGCTTCTCCACTAGCTCCAAAGGACCCCAGATAGTTTTGTTGTAACTCAGAAATGATTTTCTTACTGAAAAAAAGAAAATATAATGCATATGACTTCAACATATGTACATAATTATAGTAACTTCCTTTTAAATATTTAGTTTCAACATTTCTAACAACACACAATTATTCAGAGACCTTACCTCTTTTATCACACTGCACAGTCCTGTTGATCAAGAGCCTGTTAATCAGGATGCTGATATTTTTCCTTATCAGAAATATGTACCTTGGACATTCTTCCATATCAGAAATATGTAGGCAGACAATGACAGTAAAAAACAACTAGGCTCATTCTTTACGAGTACCAAAATAAAAAGGCTGAGGGCCCTAGAAAGTTGATCTTTATCAGTTTATTAAATAAAGCAACAACAAATAAATATATTACTTTTATTTTAATCCTTACCTGAGGACTTTTTTTTTTTTTTATTGCTTTTGCAGAGAGAGGAAGGGAGAGAAACATCCATGCAGGAGAGAAGTACAAATTGTTTGCCTCCCAGATGTACCTGGTCTAGGAATTGAACCTGCAATCCTTAGGCTACAGGACGATGCTCCAACCAACTAGGCCACACAGGCCAGGGCTAGTTACATTAGTTTTAAAAATGAAAAAATGTGGCTTTACTTTTCCTTTTACTTTCTTCTGAGATTTAGGTAATACAAAACCATGAAATCACTATCCATTTCTTTTTTTTAAGACTGACCAGCTCTCCTACAGATACATTGTGCCTATCACTTGCACCACCCAAGGACAACCATGAAGGTAGGCAATTTTTCCCTGGGGGAGAAAAATCAATCAGCACAAAGCAGATTTATAATGATTTATCAAAATAAGCCTATGACTGTTAGGATAGGCTTCACGATATTTTATGAAGTAAAGGAAAACAATCAGAAAAGTTCAAAATTTAATTATTTTGGCCATCTTTTGGCAAATTCCATTTCAGCAAGTTGGGGAAAAAATAAAAATCTATGTTACTGCCATTTTTTTTTAATAAAAAGGAAATTTTTCAAAAAGACTGATAATATCAAGAGTAAGCAAGCCCTGACTGGTGTGGCTCAGTTGGTTTGGTCATCCTACAAAGCGAAAGGTCACCAGGTACACGCCTGGGGTGCAATTCAGTTCCTGGTAGAAGCACGTACGAGAGGCAATCAATTGATGTTTCTCTCCCTCTCTCTCCTTCCTTTTCTCTCTCTCAAAATCAATAAACATATTCTCGTGTGAGGATTTCTTTATTTTTTATTTTTTAAAAGTAAATTTTAAAAGTTCTCATTACAAGAAAAAAGGAACTTGTTATTCTGTGTGGTGATGGATGTTAACCAAACTTGCGGTGATCATTTCACAATATATACAAATATCAAATCATTGTGTTGTATACCTGAAATTAATATGCGTTATATCCACCATAACTCAATAAAAATAAATGAATATAAAAAATTAAATAAATATGTTAATAACATCACATACAGTTTCTCAAATTTTGGTGCCAAGGTCCCTTCTCAGTTGGAAGTACATTTTATTAAAACCATGTTTAGATAAATCTCCTCTTCCGCTTTTTACATTTACCCATACTTTCATGTACCATAGTCAGAACTTCTAAACCCTCCCAAACTACTCGGGCTCCTCATATAAGAAACCAAGCTTCTTTTGCTTTATAATAATCACTTTAGTAAACAACTCTTACTCACATACTTGTCTAAACAGCTGCTGATCATATAAATTAGATACCAGCTATTATGTAACATATGTTAAATAACTAAATATAATACATTTTACACATAATTCAACATGAACTGTATAGAAGAATACAATATGCACTATTATTATCATTTTCAGGGAGCACTCACATTTCTACAATAACCCAATCCAGAAGACAATCTTTCCAGATTTGTTCCCATGCGCTAAGGAGGTTTATATTTCAACAATCAATTACTTTAATGTATTCATTCAATAGGGTTTCGACTAGTAAGAAGAGTTCATATCAGAATCACCAAAGTTAACATTTTAAAAATAACTCTATAAATGTCCTAGAAAATGGAAACCAACTCAGAGTATGTTGAAAAATTTTTAAGTTAAATGTGTTTTTTAACCAAACACTAACAAGTCGGCATTTTCTAAGACCACCCATTTCAAAACATAAAGCAGTAAGATATTTTCTTCCAAAACCAACCCACCTAGTATTTTTAAATGTAAAGTAATAGTAATTATGGCCTCAAAAAATAAAAAAATAAAAAACCAAAGACATTTTCAAGGATGTTTAGGATGGGAGAGGGACTGATTCTAAAGTAAATTTTTTAAAAATCTCATGATACCTTTAAGACCGTGTTTCAGACAGTGTTCCATAACAACAAAGAACTGCTGCAAAGGGGGATAGTCAGAATCCAAAGTGCGGCCAAAGCTTAGAGCAGATTCAATGAGTCCTTTGATACTCAGTTTAGCCATATTTAACAAGTTTGCTCTCTCTACAGCTGTGGGGTCTTTTGTAGCTGAAAGCACAAGAAAGGAGTCCAACATCATTTGCAAGACATGACACTGAAAAATACACAAACTCTTTCCTTCCACTATAAGCCAACAGTGGGTTGTTTTTCTTTGGTCAACAGATTAGTCTTCCTAACTAACCTACACCCCTACTTAACTTCACTTAACTCTCCCTCACATATACTATAGAACTCCATCATGCCCACTCCAGCCAAAGTTTAATTATTCTCAAGATCCTGTAAAGTGGTTATTCTCTAGTATTTATTTTACTTTTATGGTATTCTTTCAGGGAGAATGAGGTGGGGGTTTTTTTTAAATGACTTTCTAGAGAGGTAAGTTTGGGCTAATAGACAATATGTTTAAGGGTCTCATGCAAAACGTGGATAGCAGGAACCATCCAAGGATGAATTCCAAGGCAAAAAAATTTCAGAATAAACTGGCAATAAAATAAAGGGTAGTTAAAAATCGAGCATTCCAGTATTACTCATAACAATCATGACAGGAAAATAAAAATACACTAACAGGAGAAGCCATTCAATTTTCACTCATTTTAATTATCTTGTGTTTTTCATTACAACTGCTATTCTATGTTGTGTGACTCCTTTATTTTCCAAGAGGCAATAAAAACAGGGTCCAGTTTCACATTAAGGCTCCCTGCCCTTGCACACAACTGATTCAGCTGAGTAACAAGTTAACAGATAATATTTAAGAACTGATTTCAATTGGCATTTTCAATTCACAAAAATATTTTTTCTTTCCCACAAATTTTATTCTCAGTTTACTTAGAAATTCAGATGCCTCCCCATACTCTCATCACGGTTTTGAGTGACAGAAATATTTTCAGGAAGACACATGACAAAATGACATACAAAAAACGAAGCACTTAAGTAAAGCATTTCATAATCTCTGACAAGTTTACTACCCCGAGTAAACCAAGTGTCCGTTTTTCCTTCACGGAACAAAAAGTCCAGGATTCCCAATGATCTAGTATTCTAGTTCTAATCTCGGATAGCCAGGCAAAAAATGCAAACAACCACAACTGCTATGACCTGGCGAGCAGGTGGAAAATCTCCACATACGCCATTTCTTTAAATCTGCACAGTCCTATGACTCCCTTCTTTTCGGCGGCGAAACCACTTAATGTTTCATAATCTATGGAAATTCTCCATTTTTCCTAACAGTTCCCATCACAATCCGTAACGTACGATGCGACAACCAGACAAAGGGTGCCTTTGCAGCTCTGGGAGGCAGGTCCGTGCGGGGCGCCAGCAGCTTCCTCGCAGAGACTTTGCACCCGGGCCGCGCCCCGCCCGAGCCCGCAGATGTGTCCCGCGGGTCGCGGCCCCTAATAGAGCTAAGGGCCCGTCCCCGCATCTCGCCCGGGCCTCGATCCCCTTCCCTGCTACCTATCTTCCACCAGCAAGACTGTCCAAAAGATGTGGGACGCTCCCGGGACCCTCGAGGAGGGCTTACCCGGGGTCCTGCACGGCATTGCTGCCTCTCTCCCGCCCTCGGTGTTCCGGACCCGGGCCAAAACCTGAGGCGCGTCTTCCCTCCGCCACCCCCAAACCTGAGATGTCATCGCCCGACCCCAACTATTCCCCCGACTGGCGACCGACACCTCGGCCGGTCCTGTCCTCGCTCGCTGAAAGTCGACGGGCTGAGAACCCTCGATCCTTAGGCCCCAGAGCAGGAGCAGGATGGAACAAGGGGCTGTCGCGCGTTGCCATGGTGACCCCGCGCGCCCCCGAGTCCCTGGCTGCCCCGGCCTAGCCGAGGACCGGTTCCGGCCGCAGTTCCGACCCGGAGGCATCTGTGCCCTCCACCGCCAATACTCCACGTCCGGCCGCGGCCTTCAGCCCAGAACGCAGGGCCCAGAGTCCGCTCTCGGCCCGCTCCCCTTACCCATGGCGGCGGCGGCGGCGGCGCGTTCTCCAGCGGGGACTGCTTGGGCCGCGCCAGCAGCTCCCTTCAGACGCGCGGCGGCCGCCACGGCGTCAGCCACCAGGCCCGCTGCGGCCCACAGCGCTCCCGGCGGCGGGAGGACACCCGGGAGTGCCGCAGCGCCGCGAGTGGGGCGGGGGGCCGCCGAGCCTGCAGCTGGCGGGGAAGAAACTCGCCTTCGAGGAGCCTCGTTGCCCAGCCGGACCGGAAGGAGACCTCCGGTCTGGGGAGCCGGAGGGCGGAACTGCCGGCCTCTCACCCTCGGGGCTTCGACGTCGGAGCGCTAAGGAGGCCTGTCCTAGCTGGTGTGAGCCACGTGCAAACGTTTTAATCCACCGGGCCTGGCTGGGTTTCGTCTAACGCACCTGACCTCTTCCCTTTCATCTTCACAAACTAGTAGGAAATTAAAAGAATTTAGAAAATCTAAAGCGATTAACAGTGGGCAGAAATTTACTGAAACTTTATACAGCCCAAATCACAACGTTCAAACCGCTAAATATACTGGTTAATAAAAAGCAATGAGGATACTAGACTGACGGAGGGATCACTTTGTAAACTACATAAACGCCTAACCACTATGCTGTACACCGAAAACTAATGTAATATTGAATACCAACTATAATTGAGAAAATTTTAATTGATGAAAATGCAGTGAGGAACGATTTTACTAATCTAAGAAACAAGTGTCAAGATAAAGCTAGTGGGTTTTTTTTTTTTTTAATTTCAGGGAGGAAAAAATTAACCTCATAGTCAGATGATCCGGTTTAAGTTATATCAGATTGGGAAAAGTGAGCTATTACCTACTTAGATCAGCAGTTGCTAGAAATAGACCAAAATATTTCTTGAAAATGGGGTAATGTTTTCTCATCATCGCTTTGGCTATTAGCAAGTTTTGTTATGCTGCTTTACTGCTTTTGGTTTTTAATTTTATTTATTGTGAGGTAATCATACATGGATAAAATGTATAAAACATATAGTTTAAAGAATCATTATAAAACAGCTGGGTAACCACTACCAGATTAAGGGAGCATAGGAGAGAGCCATCCTCCCTGGGAAATGCCACTAGTCACCAGTCACCTGCAATCCCCCTAGAGGGTAAATACTATTCTGATTTTTATGAGAATCGTTCCCTTGCCCTTTTTTTTTCCTGTTACTACCACTCACTTATGCTCCTTTAAACAGTGTAGTGTATTTTTGCTTGTTTATAAGCTTTTCACAAATGGAATAACACTATGAATTATGTTGTTTCATTTGCTGAACGTAATCCACGTGCATGAGGAGTTTCCAGGTCGTACATACATCCTGGCGCCTATATGCAGGCAAGTCTCTAGGGCATATAATTAAGAATAGAATTACTGGGAATCACATATACCTTTATTTAACTTTACTAGATAATGCCAAACTGTTTTCAAAACTCTTCTCAAAATTAACCCTCTTATCAGTCTTTCTGCAACTCTGTCTCCATTCTAATACTCGAATTGTGAGAATTTCTTCCTTTTTGGCATATCTTGCAGTGATAAGGGCAAGATGATTTAAGAGGAACAGCCTAGCCAGAGACCCCTCCCAGGTTAACTGTTAATCATTGCTTATCTGTTCCTGTAGCCCGTTTTCACATCCCTTCCCCCGCCTGGGTAGCACATCAATCTCATCAATCTCCCACCTGAATGCTAATCCCTTCCGCCCATTCGTTTCCCACGGGAATGATAGGGCTTATAAACCCCTATCTAACCCCGATTCGGGGCTCAGAATTTGGAGACTGCCTCCTCTGAGCCCGCGCGTGTGAATAAAGGCTTACTCCGTTCCCTGAATCGTGTCGTTCCCTGAGTCTGGCTTTCCGTAACATTTGGTTCCCTGACCGGGAAACGACTCACACGAGCAGGCCGTTTGCCTCCGGTGAAGACGGCTGGGGTCGGCCGGGCGAGCCCGGACTCCAGAGGGAAGCACGTGCCCCGGTGATTTCGGGTCCCGAGGGGCTGGGCTCCCCTTGGCCCCGACCTCGGGCCGTTCCATAACCCGGGCACTCGGGGAGCGGACCCAAGCCTACCTGAAGGCGCCAGATTGGTAAGTGCCCCGGGGACCAGACCCGAATCAGACCCACCTATAAGTGGTGGAAGGAGAGGCTGATCACCTCTCAGGCCGACCGGCCTCTGGCACGGTTTCCCTGTCGGGAGGGAAAGTGTTAACCTCTGTGTGATTGAGTGAGTGACTGACTGTGTGGCTCCACAGGCCAGCGGTGTTTCCCCGAGCCTACGGAGTCTGAGTGAGCCCTAACCTGCGGGTCCTCGGTCTGTCATACGGCATAATGGCTGGGAAGCTAACCCGGACTCTACTCGGGCAGCCTTAGCTAAGACAGACCCAAGTCCCTCGCGAGAGGAGAGGCCAGGCGGGCGAAAGTGAAAGTATCCCTGCTGCCCCCGTTTGTCTGCGCCGTTTCGGGAGGGATCATGGGGGGCAGACAGTCTACTGTCTTAGATTGCATGTTAAGGAATTTCGACTGGTTCCGGGGCCAGCAGCCCGATATGGATCCGGGGCAATTAGATATTTTCTGTTCCGCTGAGTGGCCCACGTTCGGGATAGGCTGGCCTCCTGAAGGAACCCTTGACCTAGACATAATTAGGGCTGCCCATCTCATAGTCACAGGAAGTCCAGGACACCCAAACCAATTCCTCTACATAGAAAAGTGGCAGGAGCTAGCGCAAGAGATGCCCGACTGGCTCCGGAAGTGTGCGGGGGTCAAACCTCGTCACCTAGGCGCTACAGGAGGGCGAGCCAGGGGAGCCCGGAACTGTTGCTCCCGATCAAAGGAAAGGGATGTAACCCGCATCCTAGTTGCCAAATCAGTGGCGAGACCCCCTATCTATCAAGGCCCGCCAGAGGAAGACCCCCCGGTGCAGCCTCCCCCTTACCCAGCTAGGAACTTGGGAGGTCAGGCAGAGGCGCCTGAAACACCGCCCCCTTCAGTCTTGCCCCCGCAGCCCGAGGCAACAGCGCCCCCAGAATCTCCTATCGCCTCCCGCTTAAGACACCACCAGTCCCTCCAGATGCCACTGCGGGAGACCCAGGGCCCGCCATGAACTGGAAACACCACACACCCTCATATTCGGAGAAGCCCCAGGCACTCGTAGACCTAATGGAGTCCATTATGCAAACTCACCGGCCAATGTGGCACGATTGCCGCCAATTGCTCCTAACCCTTTTTAATACGGAAGAGAGGCGCAGAGTCTTCCAGGAGGCCCAGAGATATCTAGAAGCCAACGCTCCAGTGGGCACAACAGACCCAGCCCAGTACGCTCGGGTGGCAGCCCCAGAGACCCAACCCGACTGGGATCACAACACCGAACAGGGAAGAGCAGCCCTGGACCGGTACAGGGAAGCCATCCTCCAGGGGGTCAGAGCTGGGGCCAGAAAACCGACCAATATGTCAAAGGTGGCCAGTGTTGTCCAACGGCCAGATGAATGTCCCGGGGACTTCTTAGAAAGGCTCCTAGAGGCCTACCGGATATACACCCCCTTCAACCCAGAAAGCCCAGATACACGGCTAATGGTAAACACTGCTTTTGTCTCCCAATCGGCCCCTGACATCCGCAAAAAGCTCCAGAAGCTAGAGGGCTTTGCAGGCATGAACATCAGTCAGCTGGTTGAGGTAGCAAATAAAGTCTACAATAACCGGGAGGAGGCCGCTGAGAAGGCAGCCCAGAAAAGATTAGAGAAAAAGGCCGCACTGCTAGCAGCCGCCCTCAGTCAGCCGGCAGCAAAAGGCAAAGGTGGACCGAAAGACCAGAAAGGGCACGCCAAGGTAGAGAGAGACCAATGTGCCTATTGTAAGGAAAGAGGACATTGGAAAAGAGAATGCCCGCACCGGAAAAAGAAGGCTGGTCCGGCGCCCACCATCCTTAGCCTGGTGGGCCTAGATTCAGAATGAGGAAGACCGGGCTCCCTGAATCTAGGCCCCCATGAGCCCATGGTCGAAGCGATTGTTGGGGGCCAGACTCTCTCTTTCTTGGTAGATACCGGGGCAGAGCACTCGGTCGTCACCACCCCTGTAGCTCCCCCATCCGGATGAGAAGTCACCATCGTAGGGGCCACTGGTCAGCCAAGTAGCCCAAAACGCTTCTGCCAGGCCCGAATTGTTGATCTGGGAGGGCACCGGATTAGACATGAGTTCTTATACCTACCTGAATGCCCTGTCCCACTGTTAGGGCGAGACCTCTTATCGAAGCTGGGAGCTCGAATCACCTTCCAGCAGTCAGGGGAGGCCTCGCTGCAAGTGGACGGCCCTAGGCTCATGGCCCTCATTTTGCCACGAGAGGAAGAATACCAGTTGTATTCTGGGGAATCTGGTGACCATGGCCCCAGACCTGAGGCTAGAGACAACCTGCTGCAGGAATTCCCCACGGTCTGGGCCGAGGACAATCCCCTGGACTAGCCAGAAACCAGGTCCCAGTAATAACTGAACTCAAACCGGGGGCTAAACCGTGCCGCCAGCAACAGTACCCTATCTCAAGGGAGGCCCGCCTAGGAATATCGGAGGTCATCCGAAAGCACCTCCAAGAGGGTATACTGGTCCCCTGTCAATCAACGTGGAATACCCCGCTCCTGCCAATCAAGAAACCTGACGGATCAGGGTACCGTCCAGTGCAGGACCTCCGGGTGGT